TGTAAGCTTAATCAAGTTTATATGAATTTTTGGAGGGGATATGGATATAATTATAGTATATATTAATAATTGTTACAATATATGAATTAAAATGGATATATTATTGGTCTCCTGGGTGGTGGGGGCACTTTTTTATTAATTAGTTGGTTTTTGTGTGTAACACGATTAAAATTGTGATGCTGATATGTTTTTTTCTGTATTTAAAAAAAAAATAAAAAAAGGGAAAATAGACCTTAACCAGAGAAAGTCAATAATCATTATATATCAGATTGCTAGTAATTGTTTTTTGTACCCCTCAGTTACTCTTGGACCCATCTGTATTCCTGTGGAGGGTCTATGGGTGCATCCAACCAGTCCAATCAACTGCAAATTATTTGCATATTCAAATCAAGCAATGTATCTTTGTATGAATGTCAAGAAGGCTGTAATGACAATGAAACTACCTTTGAAGAAGACGTTAGAAGTTGGCTACATTATCTAAAGGTCACCTCCTGCCCCATGATTCTGCTTATGGTCCCCCTAATTTTAAAATAAATCAACTTTCATATAAATTGTTGCAAGCCATCATGTTTGTGATATGGCAACCCTGTGGATGAGTGCCCCCATGTGATGCTGTCCTTGACCGCCCAGTGCATTCCTTCTCTCTGTCTCTCGCTCTCTTTCTCTCATGAGGGAATCTTGAAGGCCAGAGAAAGCCTTAACAAAATAGATAACTATAATTTCCAACCTGAATTTTCAACAGGACTTTACAAAATGTCTTTTTCTTTTCATATGAGGTGACACAGAATTCAGGCACGTGATCAAGGCCAAATAATTGTATTAAAAATGTAAAATTCCTGAAGCCACATGACCCTCACAACAAACTCTTTGGTGGCCAGATTGGATACACAGAACACCTTGGTTTTCTTCTGAAGTTTTTTAAGAGCTGATGTGCTCATGGAGGCAAAGATCATTACTCATTACTAGAGATTCTGAACACAGATTGGGAATGGGGAATTGCTCATACAAAGGACTACAAGAGATTGCAAATACAAGTGCAACCAACATGTTTTTTCCAGTGAGATGATCTCCCTTCAAAAGTGTAGTGTTGGGGATGCCCATGGGAGACCCTGGCTCCACCTGAACACAAAGCCCAGTTGCCATGGGCAAAGCAGTGCTTCACAGGATTGTTGCGAACATGAATGAAATAAGAACTGCAATAGGTAGTAAAGTGAAGAGTGCTGTATGTATGTATGTATGTATTTATACATGTATTTATAGGCCGCCTATAATTGCAGAGGCCTTCCCAGGCAGCTACATTATGACATGATACATTATGAAGCCAGTTATAGGAAACAGCTTCTAAACCCCAGAACATAACCTCAATAAAAACAAAGAGACTCTATCTAGAAGACCTGAAATGGTAAATACCTTAAATTGAATTAGCTGCTATGCTGGATCTGTGATTTTTGATATGGCATCCGGATGAACCAACAGAAAGACCGCTCAGTTTTCTATACTTTAAAGAACAGGCTGCGGTGGAATGAAAAACAAAGCCAAGTGCTTGTATCTCCACTCCTGCTGCTCAGTCGTAGCCTCAGGCTTCAAGCAACCTAGCCACAAATTTGCCAGAGGACCACCAACTCAGTCCCCCACTCAGTCCCCGCTGAACAAACCAGATGCAGATGGGGCCATGTTGAGAGTGACACGAAGTATCCATGCCAAAAAACACATTCTGTTTTACAGTCGTGTCACTGCTAAACTTTACTTTTCTTCTGCTGCTGCTCATAGAACGCCCTCAAATCAATTCACTTCAGTATGTGTCAACCAAAGAGGGCCTTTGTAGCCCCTGAACCCTACCATCCAAACGTCATGTCAGAGTACCTTGGCTTGCAAAGTCTAGACACCTTTAAGTATAACAGAAGCTTGGGCTGCAATCCTAAAAAAAATGCTTATTTGGGAGTACCCTCCACTCAACATCACAGGAATACTTTCAAGTGAACTTGCATAGAATTGCGCACATAGGTCATCTGCCCTTATAGCCTGTTTGCTTGAGCTAAGCACCTCTACCTATTCATTAAGCTTTGTTTTCTACAAAGGTGAAAGGAATTCCAAACCCACAACAATACTCCAAATTCTTCAGTTTCCTCATTTCATGATCTTGATACTATGAAACAAACCTTCATTCAGAGCAGGGCTGGATAAAGCCTATGAAGAGCTCTGGACCACCAAGCTGTGGTTCCCATCCCATTTGGGACCAACACTGATCTCGTGCATAGCATTTGCATGCATGCAGAGTCAAGGAAGATGGGCACGTGCAGTCAAAGAATCCCAGGTTACATATAGCAACAATGCCAGAGGCATGGAGAAACACAATGGACTTCTGCATGTGAGCTGTTTAACTTGTTGCATTACTCAGGGTTCTTCTTCCATTTTCTTTGCAGGAGGAAGAGTGTGACCTTTATGCAGGCTTCTCAGCCCCCAGGTTTGTCTTTCTCGGTTTTTCTGCCATATCCCATTATCAAAGCACACAGTGCTGCTGTGATATACAGTAACTGCAGTATAGCAGCATTGTGACAATGCACAAGACTTTCATTCTGGCTTGTTTCATGTTTAAATTTAACAGCTGACTTATCACACACAGAGAGAGACACACACAAAACACATGCAAAAATGGTTGGAAAACTGAGGATAGTCCCTGGAGCAGAAGCCTGTGAAAGAGACCCACAAATTCCGTGAGAGACGGATCACAAGCCCATAGGACATGTTAAGAAGCTCTACATATCTCAGAGCGCAGGAGGGAGGGCTGAGCCTCATATCCATGGAATCCCAATCCTGCCTGCCATGGCTTTCCAAGTGGTCATACCCCTTTCCCATAGCCCAGCCCCCTTTCCCCAATCACCAAATTTTGGTGGTTTCCTGGCTTTAGCCATTTTTCCCCATTCTAAAAGGGTGAAATGTCTCTCCTTGGGGTTTTTCTACATGTGGCATTTATCATGTATATCCTCGTCCATATTTCTATGACCTCCCAGTTTCACTAAAGCAAGACTTTGCCTGAGCTTTCCCAGAGCAGGGAAAATGTAGCATTTAATTGTAAAAGTGAAAGAAAGCATTATTTCCCCTATAGGGTATTTGTAGAATCGTACTCCACCACATTGTATTTTAGAAGTTATGTAGCAAAGAAACAGAAAAGGAAACACTCCTCACTGGAGTGGATAGGATTGGGACAGGCCAGGTGACATGAGTGTGAATTGGGAAGTTTAGAGATTAGTGAGGGCTTTTTCCGAGTCCCATCTGGCCAGTCCAAGATTGAAGCAGCTGGAGGCCCTGGGCTAAGGAGACCTTGGGAGGCCCAAACTTAATAGCATCTGATGGTGAGAAACCAAACCCCATTCTCTCATTTTACTCAATGAAAGTAAAGCACTGCTGAACTTTTAGCACTGATACATTGTTTAAACTTAATAATCTTTAATAAGTTAACTAATATAATTAATGAAGACCTTCACACAAAACAATCATAAGGGTATCATAGCTATGATATACCATTGCACTATATACAAAGTTAAAGCAGTTTCTTTCAAGCTTTTTTGGATGCAAACTTACTAATTATATCATTAAAATCAGTAAGTCACAGTTTATCATTTTCTATGCAGAGAATGCTTAGATCAGACAAGCAATCTTGAGATATTACTGATGGTGGATCATTTTTTATCCCTTTTAGTCTAGAAAATGATATTTCTCCTACATACACCCCTGATTTTTATCATTACAAATGAAATAAAATAGTAATTAAAAAATGTTAGGAGGCCAATGCTCCCCTAGATTATGAGGCCTTGAGCTGCAGGACATGTAAATCAGGCACTGCATCTGACAGTAGCTTGCTAATGGCACACTTCATCACCGAGCATTATATAATAAGCTTCCCCAACCTGGTGTCCTTCAGATGAGTTGAGCCACTCCTCCCGCGGGATGCTGGGAGTTGTAGTCGCAGCCCATCTGGAGGGTACGAGGTTGCGGAACCTTGCCTAGAGTGCTTGATGATGAAGTGGCCCAGCAGCCACCTGCCGCCAGACTGGACTCGCAAAAAGCCCTCGCTGACCTCCCAATCTGCCCTCGTGTCATCGGGCCCACCCCCAAATCCTACCCCCTCTCTTGCACTTTTCCCTTCCCTCCGTTAGATGGCTCCGCACCATTTCTTCAGCAACCTGAGCGCTGTTGGGAGCTTCCTGCCATGGTTGCATCCCGGTTCCAAGAGCCCGATTTATTTTTTTTCTTCTCCCGTGAGATCTGTCCATGGAAATCAACCGAGTGGTCGCAGTATTTTATCCCCGCAGCTATGAGAGCTGCGTTCAAATGTGATACCTTCGAACAAAAAGCAGAAAAAAAGTAGAGTTCATTCGTTAATATTTTTGTGTGGGGGAAAAACGTGCGTTTCTTAATAGTCTAAACATTTAAAAGTACATTTTTCATGCATGTCAAAAAAAGTCCGTATGCAAGACGCTGGTTTCGAGTTGGAAAGGAGGCGTGCAGACTTAAAATTTCAAACCCCTTAGTCTTTATTAGGCCAACCAAAAGATCATATTGCGCACACGCACGCACACAAAAAGGTATACGCTAATAATCGAAACCAGAATTATGCTTATGGCCAACGCCTCTCTGCTTGTTTTTTTGATATATGGAAGCAGCTCTTTTGCTCTAGGGATCGTTTAAAATGACTTTTCTAATATGAACCCGGAATTCTCCCATACAGACAATTCTAAGTTACCTAGCTCTGTGCTCTATGCTCCCTCCTTCCCATCATCTAAAGTGACGTTACCGTAGACGAAGAAAGAAGGCGCGAATTGCTTTAAGGGCGGGCGGAGAGAGAAGAGACGGAAAGCGATACAGTAGTACTTACCACGTGACACCAGAAAACGAAGACGCTTTTCTACCACATACTCTCCCTCTCAAAGCGGGAATTGTCCCACGTGACTACGCAATAGCCTATCACCGTACGGAGCGCCTTCGCTACCGCGGCCTCCGTTCGTTTCCTAGGAAACCTCCCTGCCGACGCCGGGAGCCGGTGGGACCAAGTTGCGATTGGAATCCGCGATTTCTGCGGAGGATTCCAGCTCGTCAGGTGAAGTCCGAGGAGGGGGTACAGGAAGCCCTCAGGGGGTACAGGGATGCCTTCGCCCATTTTTGTTTGCAGTGGGAGGCAGGTGGGAGGTCCGCCACGGGAGGGGAGGTCGGTCAGGGTCGCCTCGCGTGCCGCCTGTGGTTGGTAGGGCAGGTGGGAGCGTTCCCTGGAGCTTGCGGAGCGGTCCCGCTGTCGCGGTTCCTGAGGGCATCCTTCCGCTCGCAGCTGCATTAGTCCCACAGCCTCGTCACCATTTGTCAAGAAGAACGGGTTGGGGTGGGGAATTCAGTCATAAACTTGTGTTGAGAGGAATCACGAAAGCCTTGAACCAGAGTAAGGGAAGTTCGAACAAAATTTTAATTTTCGCGCTATTTTTATTTGGGTTTTACTGTATGGAAATGATGCTGTGCTTTACTTTGTTTTATTGTAAAACCGTCCTGAGACTATTTGGTAAGAGAACGGTATAGAAAAGTTTTAAATAAATAAATAAGCATGTGTCTCAGTCGCAAAACCAGAGTCAGCAGTACAGTGGTGTCCATGTCTGAGCGACAAGGGCATAGTGGAATCAGGGGTCTGAGCACCAAAATGCAATTCCATTTCTTTAAACTCACCGTTCTGTTCCTGTGCAAACGTCATTTGGCACAACAGGAAATTGAGAGTAGACTTAAAACAGGATTGGGGAACATGTGGCCCTCCAGATATTATGCAACTGCAATTCCCATCATCCGCATCATTGGCTATGCTTCACTCTTAAAAAGAAATCACCCAATTGTACATGGAATAGAATTACTGGGAAACAATGAAGAACACCAAGTTTGTAGCTTACATCAAAACATAATATAGTTGTAACATCAGTAGCAATAAAAGTAATAACAGCATTCTATTTCTTGAGGAAACTGAGGGTGGTGTTTGGGTTTTTTTTGGTGGGGGGGTTGGATCCTTTCATCACCCTTTTAGGCTGAAAGGTAAGGTAGGCTAAAATACAGTGACAGACCCAAGGGCACCAAGTGAACTTTATGGCAGAGTTGAATCCAGTTGTCCTGAGTCCTATACCAGTGCTAATCACACTGGCTCTCACCATACCTAACTCTCACTAGTTCTGGGTAGACTGTGAAGAACACTGAAGAAAACTCTCCAACTTGAATGGGCAGAAGAAAAGATGCAATTGTTTACTCAGAAGGAAGCCACACTGAGTTCTCTGAGTCATACCCTTGTGTGTGTGTGTGTGTGTGTGTGTGTGTTTAGGATTGCACCCTGGGGGGGAAGAACTTGAGGCTATGGTAGAAAGATCACTGATATGTCAGGTCATTATGTGGCACTGAGTATGCATGCATGAGGCACTGCAACAGTGCTAAGAATAATTAGGAAAGGAGCTGTGCAATAAATATTGTTTTGCTGTTATGTAGTATTCTCCTGTAGCAAAGATGCTAAATGTAGTACATGTTGCATCAGTATCTCCTGTTTAGATAACTATAACTTCAGTCCAAAATGAATATAGAAAATGAAAACTAAAATGATCAAGAGATTGGAGCTATTTCCCTACAAAAGAAAAGCTAAAGCCTTTGAGTCTTTTTGATAAAGGAAAAAAATGCAATTTGTGAACATTATTGAGGTTCATAAAATTGTAAATAGTGGAAAGACTGTAGGTATTTTTTACTTGTGATATTCAGATGTAAGCTTGCCTAATGCTTTGTAGTTGGTTCAACACAAGATACCATGTACAATGACATATTTAACTTAGGGGCTTCACTAGGACACTTTATGGCCATAATTACTAGCTTTGAAAGGGAATCAACAAATAATGAATCATTGATCTATTACCAGTTATTAGCTATGGTAACTAGTGGATTCTATATCTCTGAGGCAGGAACATCAGGGTCATACAAGAGGAAATAGCCTTTAACTATGTACTGCTTCTATGCTCTCTAACCTTGAGGTATCTGACTGCTTACTGTTTAAGGCTGAACTAGATGGATACTTGATCCAATGAAGCAAGGATGTTCTTATCACCCATAGTTAATACACTTCAGAACTACATAAATATAAATGTCCAGTCTGCCTTGGACTGGATTCATGCAGCTGAAATTTTCAAACGTCTTTGCTCTTAATAGTTTCAGTAGGACAATCGGGTTTAGGAGAACATTGGATTCAGGCTTTCAGCTCAAAATATGAGTGCAGTGTATAGATACTGTACTACATTCGTAGGAGCATTTTAGGATTTCCTTTGAATGCTGTCTTCAAATGAAACTTAGCTGGTGGCATCAAGGAGGGGCTTCTGTGTGGCAGCTCCCAAATTATACAATAACCTCCTGACTGAGGTGCACCTCGTTCCAACTTTACCTACCATTTTTGTAGCTCCAGGTAACTGAGAGGCATTTACCAACTTGAAATAGCACACAGGGATTATTGCTAGCTGTTGTTGTTTTTTTTTTAGCAGACTTAGCAGTGTGGTCTGGTTTTAGCTGCTTAGCTGTAAAAATATTGGCTTAAAATTTTTAATTATGTTATATTGTTCCTTTATTCTATATTTTATTGTATTTACAATTGTTCATTGCCCAGATAGCTTTGGCTATGGAAGATGTGGGGAAAATGCCTGTACACTATATAGGTTTTATTTTATGAAGAGAACTGCTTTTTTTCTCTTTGCAAAACCTCAAAATTATAAAATATTGCTGTACTTAGTTGTATTCATTATCACTAAAGCAATTTGTTATCATTTCTTGTACCCTTTAAAAAGGCAGATTAGATTACGTGTCAGGAGAAGTAGCCTTTGTAATCTTCTTATAATCTTTTCTGAGACTGTTTCCATGGGCTTACGTGACATTATTTTATTTTATTTTGTGCACTCATTCTTGTTCTACTAATGTGTTGTGTATGTAACAGGTGTGCAATGAGAAAGAGAAATTGGAATTTGTTGAGAACATCTCGTGCAGGTAGTTGTCATTTTGAAAGTACTTTAAAATGTCACATTAAATCTAATCTTCTCTACTTTATATTTATATAGTACATTTTCCCATGGATCCTGAACTGCTTTCAGAAAATCTTCTGTAGTGGTGTGCATCCATTTGTATTGGCACAGGAAGAATTCTTCATTGTCAGGTAATTGTGCAATGTGTTTATATTTGTAATGAGAGTAAGTAGTATTTTGTTCTTTACAGATCTATGCAAAAGTATATGAGAACTGTACAACTAGAAAATAAATCATGAGATATCCGAGTAGTACTGTGCTGCCTGTAATTATTTAAATCTAAGGACTATTTTTGTGGTGTTATTTGGACTAGGTGGCTTCTTGAACAAAACCAATCTTGCTTGCTTGCTTGCCTGCCTGCCTGCTTATATGGGATCCTCAGTAGTCATGGTGCTTTACAGAGAGTAATGTAAGGAAAAATATTAGCACCCTAAGAAGCTTATATTTAACCAATTCTGCCACAGTCTAATGCTCTCTAGATGTGTCAGACTGCAGCTCCCATTATCCTCAGACAGTATGACCATATTGGCAGTGAGTGGTAGGCATTATGGTCTAACATATCTGAGGGCACAAGGTTGTGGAAGGCTATTCTATCCCACAGTTAGAAGCTTAGATGAGAAGAGTTTTCATTTTAAGGCATACATGCTTGGACAAAAATGACTTCAGGATTAAAATGTAAAAGAATTTAGGGAAATTATATTCCTGGCCTCAGTTCAAACATTAACAATTGCAGAATATAAACTTCTTTTAAAAATGGCTTTTTTTGTATTTATGTGTGTAGTATAGTGTAGTGTATTAGGGCCAGATGTCAAATTATGTGCATGAAGAGCATGAGGAGTAATACATTTTCAATTCAAGTACCATGCTGCAATAATTACATTTTGCTTTTTCATTTCAGTATTTATTTAGTCATTTTAGTGACTTGGGACTTTAAATCCAGTTGTTGACTATGGCTCATCGATTTTCTGAAGAAGACACAGATGAGGAGTTTGAAAAGTTTTTGAAGGAGGTAGGTGTGTTTTTCTTTAAGCGTTTCATTTACATTTAATACCATCCTGCCATTGCCCTATTTCTCAACATTTCCAGATTGTCCACAGCTCCTGAAGGCAGCTTAGTCTTGTGTCAGCCACTAGCTTTATCAAGAGAGTTCCTCAATATGTTCAGCAGCATGCAGAGCAAACTTTTCCAGTTTTCTCTATTTACCTTGCACTGTATCCTGGCTATCTTTAATCAAAATGCTGTATTTGATATGTGAATCAGCACTTCAGAACTTGTATATTTGGCTTTATTATGGTTTAATCCACAGCTTACCTAAAGGAGACCATGTAGTTGGAGTTCTTTGACCACTGGAAATGTACCACATAAATGCTTATTATTCATGTTGACTTAGGGCTCAGTCTTTAATTACTTGGAATGAAAAATCCAAAACCAATGGAATTTTCCCTGTTTAAGAATCAAATCAGAAATCCCATTCAGGAGAATAGGTTTAAGTAAGACTACATTGGAATATTGGTGCTCAAATAGTCATGCTATTTTACAATCTGAGCATGTACACAAGGTGTTGCGGAAATCCTTCAATGTATATGCTCATTGCTTGCACAAATCATGTAACTGCAGTTGTCACATACTGAGACAGCTCAGGCATAATTCCAGACATGAAAGCTGGAGAAAGTGTTTAGCAGCCATAGCAGGGTTGCTTCCCTTCAGTTGACATATGGATAAAGTTCATTCTGTAAGCATTTTATTCTTCTGAGGCAAGTGTATATGTGCATCTACCCATTAATCACGGCCATGTACTTTATAACTATTGCCATTCCGTCACATAGAAACAGAGCAAGTCAGAACGGCTTCCTGGGCCATCTGACCCCCACCCCCTGGCTCCACCCAGCTCCTCTCATGTAATCCCCAACATGTGGTTGTCTGGTCTTTCCTTGAATGCCCTCACTGATGGGGCCTCAACCACCTCACTTGGAAACCCATTCCATATTCAAGGGGTTCTAACCATCAGGAAGCACTTACTGACATCCAACCTGAAGCCTGGTTTCTTGAGCTTTGCCCTACTGGGAAGAGCGATGCATTCTCAGTTTCTTTCTCTTTGTGTATATGTGTCAGGAATATAGAACTCTTGTAATCACAGGACTGAATTCAGTTTCGGAGAATGTCTCAGGCTGCATTTAACTGGTTAACAGAGCCAAATGTAAAAGGTGTGGAGTAGAAAAGCAAAGGTACCAGCTTAAAACCTGATATTTTAGGTTAAAGGTCTTACTTCCAGTACTAAACCTTAGGAGAGGCATTTCATCTTTTAAAATGGATGATAAACTTCACAAAACACAGGAAACTGCCAAACAGTTGGTAGTTGGAGAGAAGGAAGGGGGTTAGGGGAACAGGGCATGGCCATCTAAGGCACCCAGGTTGGTCAAACAGGAACCCTTGGAGTGCTTGATTTTGGGGGTGAGGGGGTGTTTGTAGTGGAGTGGGGAAGGAGCATGCATGTATGCCTGGGTGTTTATTATTTGACAGATAACAGGTAGGGCTGTGGCCAAGCCTTCTGCTTTTAGCCATCCAGTCCTATTTGTTTTGGAAATCAGTGCCCCACATCAGGGTTGTTAATGCAGCCAGATTATTCATAGCAGGGCAAAAATGAGGAGTAAGCTTATGTTTTTGGTGAAATACTGAATTTGCTAGTTTGAATTTCACTCTCACATTTACAGTGTGTAGTATTGTGCTGATGATGACCTTGTACTCACGGCTAACTGTGCTGGGTCTTAACACTCGTGTATTCAAAATGTTATTAGTGTACATCATTAATAAGGCAACTTGGTTGATTTAACTATTACTGCATGTGAATTTTTAAACATTCCTGTCCGTCAGTATCTGAGCTGCAGTGGACTCCATCTGTTGGCCAGAGCCAAGAATACCCATCTAAGTGTTTGTAGAATCTGTTTCAGGTCTTGCTGGAGGCTCCTGATAAGTGAAAGTTGGGAGCCTTGAGGGACAAGGTATATAAGGGCAAGTTCTTCTCTCCAGAAGCTGCCTCAGTAGCACAGGTCTTCCTTCTTGCACAGGCCTTGCCTTCCTTGCCACACCTTCACTATTCCTGGCCCTGCTTTGTCTCAAGCACCTGCACCACTGTTTGTCCTCCTGCTTCTCAACCATGGGCTTGTTAATGTCCATGTTCTTGTCTTCCCCGGTACATGTCTGTGGTTCTCACTTTGGCCTGTTCTTTAACTACAGCTTGGGCTTGCTATCGAACCTTGCTATTGGACTTAGGACTCTGTATCGCCCTGGGTTCTGTTGCCCTTGTCCCAGTCCCTCTGTCTTGACTCCTGCCACCCATACCGCAGCTCTTGACACTATCACTGTATATTGACTTACTAATAAGAAATATCTGCCTTTATCTAGCTGCTCTGTGTACACTATATTTTTCTGTGGACATACAAACTTTGTTCATTAAACTAGCACTGGAATGCTACATTTAGAAAGACCTGGAGAGTCGTTCCCTTTTCAATAGTGGTCAGACAATTAATATTTCAGGGAACTGTAATGGCAAGTTTTCTGTAAATGTTTCCTTCCCCAGCTGTTACTCTTCTATTTGAAGTTGACAAGATGGCTGGACATAGACGGTTTCCAGATCTCAGTCACAACATCTGGGGAGGTTTCAGTTTCTTCAGTTACAATACCCTGAGGGGTATCAGCATCATCCAAGTCCCACTTGTTGAACAGAAAATGCAGTTACTTACAAAAGAAATAGCAAGTGATAACAGAACATGCATCAAACACCTGTCAATAACTCCCAACTCAGTTGTTTTGGGGCATTGGTATTGCATTAATTCTTGTCTGTGCCTTAGAAAACAGAACTTAACATGGACTATTTTATTTATAGGCTATATATTAAAATTATATTAAAGAAGTAAATCTGCTTTCCCTGGGTAGTTCAACAACTTGGAAGAGTTAAACATATATTCTGTTGTTTTGTTTTTTTACTACTAGACTAGTTTTTCCTAATCTGTATCCTCCAGATGTTTGAAGTGAAACCCCCAGAATTCCTGACCAATGGCCATTGTAGCTGGGATTGATAGGAGTTGAAATCCAAAATATCTGAAGAGTAGTAGGTTGGGGAAAACTCTCCAGGAAAAGTGTAAAACCTTAATTTAAATCATTATGGCTTGGTTTAGATCTAAGGCTAGGTCATGCTTGCACTAACCATAGTTTAGGCTCCAAACCATGATTGTGCACTAAACATATAGGCAACACATGGTTTATGCTGATTTCTTGTTCCCCCGCACCTTCTCTGAGATTCCATGGATGGTATCCAAAGCAACGGCTTTCAAATATGGAGCAATGTTCTAAACTATGATTTGTCAGAATGGATATAACAGAAAAACACTTTCAAATCATGGCTTAAGTTCCTGGCCAGTCATACACCATATGTTATTATATAGTGTTGGTTCAGACTTCATGACAAAGTATGGATTTGCAATTCACTGGCTGATGTTACGCTTGAACTGTCTCTGTATGCAACAGTTGTACACTTAGACATTTTGTGAAAGCTGTAGGGATATAGGCAAGTGTTGTTGCTGTAGTTGTATTGTGTTTCATTTAATTGCACTTTAGAGTTAAGATTTTAATGTTGTTTGAGTATGCCCTAGGCTCTTTGGTGAGGAAGGACAGGATATAAATAAAGGAAATGGTGATCTATATATGTGTAGATTGCAAACATTTTCCTAAGTAGAAGTGATTTCAGTGTATGAAATATGCCTGTATAGGTCTTACACAAATTAAATGGCTTAGTTCTTGTACTGCAAGGGTATAGCAGTCTAGCAAATAGGTCCATAGAATTAACAAATATTCATCTAGTCCGCTTTCCCACATGAATTTTAGCTCACTTTTTCCCAACCTTGTGCTGGCTATTAAAGATGAGAGTGCCAATCTATGTACTTCTCTTGAAAATATAAAACTCCCAATTTTTAAAATTGTATTCAGAAGTATATAATAGAGTTAGTGAAATATCAGAGCAGTACGAGTGTTTTTTTTCTTCATGTCAGTCTTTCCCAGTTACATTCTTCATGAAGGCTATGACACCTTTGACTACTGAGGAATTCACAAAGCAATAACTAATAAGAAAACTACAAAATCACTTGGGATGGATGGATTTTCATTTGAATGATATAAAACCTTCTCCAGCATTTCGTTCCAAAGTTTTATAAGTAACTTATTTTTCATTCAGATCAGGCTGTCTTGTCAGCACTCAGTGATGCATATATTTCTGTGATTGCTAGGGATCACATCTATTGCATTATCAGCCTATTTACTAATCAATGTTCACATTAAGAATATTAACATTGGTGTTGGCCAGTAGATTGCAACAAGCTATTACAATAGTCCAGCCAGTCTGAGTGGAGTTTATGAAAAATAGACAGGGGCAGAAAATTTTAGACTGGTTGTTGACTTGGTAGCACTCAATAAGGACCAAACAGATACAACTATTATTGTTCTCTAGATGCAGAAAAGGCCTTTGACAACATTTATTAGAATGTTGACTTTAATGTAGAATTTCTTAAATCAGAATTCTATATTCAACCCCAAAAGCTAGAGTTTGGACTAAAAACCTTTTGTCTGATTTCTTTTTATTTGGACAAGGTACAAAACGGAGACAGAAATGTTGCTGTTTGCCCTCTGTTTGGAATACCTGGTGTGTGCTATTTGACAGAATCCTGATATTCACAGATTTGTGCTTAATTCTTCAGAATCCATTTTTATTGTTTCTTTTGAAACCCTAATCATCTGATCCAACTTAGATGCAGATGACTGATACTTTGGGTTGTTTGTCTGGCTAATGAACTTACTAGTCAAAGTCAAAATTCATTACTCATTTGGGAATATCATTCATACAGATAAGTCTCAGATGATTAAGCTTAATTCCAGTAAGTTCATAAATGAAACATTTTTTCTTACAGGACATTAGTAGATGAGCATCTTTAAACTTGAGTCTATGGGGTAGGGTAAATGAACTCAAAAATAATGTAGTGCCTCAAATTGTTTAGTTCTACAAGACATTTCTTTAGTTATACCTGGCAAGTATTTTCAAGAACATTATGCTTTGTTTCATACATTTCTGTGGGGTTTAGCTCAGCCACAAACATCTTGGAAAAGGATGTAACTTCCAACAAATCAGGCCTATTTGTTGACTAGACTTTTTTTCCCACTTTGATTAAACTTGCCCTTCAGTTTTGGAATCTACAGATTTGGGTCCTCTACCTTGATAAATTGTATTGGGCTCTCATTATGCCAAAACAGATAGTATACCTCCCACAGTTACAGCAGTTGGAGGGGTGTTTATACTTTCAGATCAATTACAATTTGATCCTTTTGGCAGTTTCCAGGGCAAAATTGGAAGTATCGAATAAGGCTAAACAGCTGTATTGACCAATGATTTTGGTTTGTAAGTATTACTTATTAGTGAATAAATATGGTACACAGGGTCTTAAGCAAGAATGGAATAACAGACTGGATTGTCTTTCAATGGATTGCTTCATTGGCATTTATTTTGGAAGGGTTAGCAGATCTTAAGTTATGTCTGTTTCAATCAAATAATGTTTCCAGTATATTGGACACCACAGCATCATTAATAGCATATTTTTATCTAACGCAGACAACTGTTGGAGGTATAACACATTAAATCCTTCTCTCACCCATATGTTTTGACATTGCCAGCTGATACAATTGTGTGTTATCATCAGTACTAGCCACATGAATGTAACCTGTGGTTAAAGCTTTGCATAGAATTGTCACAGGTTATTTTTTCATTTCTTTGCAATATGACTGCACTATTTGCATCCCCACAAAGTGTATACCCATGTATATACCTGCTAACTGAAGATAAACATCACATACTTAATTCTCTTTAAACTCAGTGGGACTTAGGCTGGACCATGCACTTTTAATAGGGACCAAAAAACAAAAACCCAAAGAGCACAAATTATTCTCTTTCTGATTCAGTCTCTTTCAGATGATTCACTTGGAAATGAACCAAAGAAAAAATCCAGTATTCCTGAGACTATGGGACAGGCTAGGCATAAGAAGCATTCTGTGCCATGGTGGATATCTGAGGAAGATTCAGATGATGGTATGAAATTCAATTTGATGTAATGTGTCTGTTCTTTGTGACCACAAGGTGTCAGTCAAGTCCTTTTGTGTCAATAACAGCTTTCCTGGTACTTTTTCTACTACTGACTGCATTTCATATTGCAAGATAATTTTCAGTTTTGAAAATTATGTTCTTAAATACAAAATATGAATAGTGGAACCAGTGTGCACATTTGTGTATGAAATAACCTTCCATAAGCACACCAGAATGCTATGAATGCAAGATTTTGCACAAACTTGAGAAAATAGCAGCACTGCAAGAATTCCTACATAACAGGTTCTCTGGATTAAGATTAATTTCTTAGATCCTATAAAGTATAGAAAAGGCAAGTTTCCTATTCACTCTTCCCCTCTGCAGCCATCTGTGCAGTCATCCCCTCTGAAAATCCTTTCTGGAGGGTCAGCCTTTCCTGAACAATGTGGGGTGTAGTGCAGAAGGCTACAGTGAGGAGAGGAAACACATCTTCCATGAGCTTCATTTAGTGAGATTATTTTAGTGTTCAAGACAGTATCTTTTCAGTATCACTTTCAGAACAAGGACAGTTGAAAGTCTAGGAAATATGGGTTACAGTACAAAGTCACACTTCTATGCTGTATACTAGTTTAGCTTTTCCTTCTTGGTTCTGCTAATAATTAAGAAATCCAAAAGAAATTCCAGTTAATTCCAGAAACACTCTCCTGCTTTCTTCTGGAACCTTTCAAGGTACATGAATAATGTTTCCTTATTTACTTCTATATTTAGATTTTGCCAGATAGCAAAAATGAGAGGATACACTTGCAATCTGAAGCATAATTATTTGGGATTAAGTTGCATTGAGTTCAGTAGAAATTCCTTATGAATAAATATGGAAAGGATCACATTGTTTTTGATCATATATTCTTTTGGAGCTGAATTAGCATAGGATAGTATAAAGAAAGATTGGGCAAATTGTGGAGTGCCTCTGCTGTAAAACACAAGAATTATTTGAATATTTCTGTCATTTTCTATCCAAAGGAAATTTTACAGACCCAGATATTTGATAAGCAATTGTCTGTTCCTCTGTGTTTTCATCATTATGCAATATTTTTGTAATACTACAGTTCCTGCACATATGCAGAAGCTATATGATAAATGGTTAGTTTCTCATCCCATCTTTTGGCCAAACCTGGCTATAAATTAGGAACAAGTAGTATGAAGAGCAAAATAAGTTTTAGAATTGTTGGAAATCAAATGATATTCATATAACAACTGTGAGATGAACATTGGTTTATTTTCACCAGATATGCCACTAACATTCCATCAAATCTGAAAATCTCTCTTTTACTCAGTTTGCAGAAGTAAGTTTGCTGTGCAAAGTCTTTATATAAAGGCCCCATATTTTTATATGAAGCTACTCTAAATCCAGTTCTGCAGTATTTTCAGCTTTTGGACTGTGATCCTAAGCACCCATATTTTGACATATGATGATTTCAAATTAATAGAACAAATAAAGATGTCCAGGACTCAGGTGCCACTACGCTTTCTGCTGTATGATCTACTTTTCTATGGTCTGGATGTAGACCTGCTCTTCTTTAAATGCAAGTTCATGAAAGTTTCTTGGCTCAATCAGCAGTTTTTATGAGTTCACCCTTCCCCTGCAATTCTTGGTGTCATCTCCCATACATTTCTGGATGGTTCTCCAACTATGTAGAACCTATTTTCAGATGGAAACAGAAGGAAAAATCTGCTAAAATTTCACCTCTCCTTCTGCCAGTGGGAACATGTGGCTGGGACGCAAGCCACAGGTTTTCTGAATCCAAACCCATTAGTTGAAACAGCCTTAGATTTTGGACTGCCCTGCGTATGTGACACACTTAGATGGTCAACACCACATTAGTTCAACTATAGTCAGTAAAATTCCAGTGGAATATGTAAGCAAATTTTAAACAGCATGGTGGTTTTGTATTACACAATCTCTTATTTATTCCATGAGCAAAAAAGCCATTATCATTATCATTGCTACTGTTATTCTCTCTCTGCATTGACTGATAGCAATATCTGCCAGCATCATTGCAGAACTTCCACAGCTGGTGGAAAGTTGAAATAGGTTAATGTGCATAAGTCAAGGTTGCCAGATTACTTACCCAGAGATATTTCATTTAGTTTTGTTTTGTTTCTGGAGAAATACCTTTAAGAAGCCTCCTTAATGTTGGTGCCAGCGCTCCAATAGAAAACAAGCAAAATTACACTGTAGTCTAATGAAGTGAACTTTGGTGAGATAACTCAAATAATGTTATTGGCTTCAGATTAAGAAGAGATTAATTTGCAAAAGACTGAATAAACAAGCCACTTACGTGGCTGCATGGAGGATGTAATAGCTCCTATTCACACACTGACCAGATCCTGAAGAAATTATTCTCTACGACAGTAAGAAAGGAATCTATACCACCTTATTGTGATAGTATACTTGGATGCTTTGTTTTTAAGCAAGGTACTTTCCAATCCATGCTCAGTGTGTTAAAACAACAACAAAGTTATCTAGACAGTGTGTCTTCTTTGATCTTTAATTAAATCCTTTTTGGACAGCTTTGTTTTTACTTTTTGGTCACTCTTGCATATTTTTCTCTGTGCTATATGCTCCCTGGATTTCCCTAAGTTCCTAAGACAAACAGGTTTATCAAACTAAGGAATGAGAAGAAGTTTGTTGAAGAAAAAGATGAAATGGTTGAAGATGGTGAAAAGAAGATACTACTTTCAAATAACCAGTCTGGTACTAGATTAAATTTCTGTTGGTAGTTAGCAGCTTGATGTTGTTTTGTGTTGCAAGTAAAAATCAATCCCTCCTCAGTAATAATGTGTTTCTTGGGTTTGATGGCTTTTGTAATTCTGTGTGCTGTTGCCAAAAATAATTAGAAAACACACACTAACAAAAGCAAATTGGTAAAAACTGATGGTTTATCTTGCATGTAGAAGGGCCCAGTCCAAGGCCTCTCCATGAAGGACAAGAAAAACAGCCTGTCTAGAAATCTGGAAAACTAATGTTAGGGCATTTATTTTATTTCAGTTTACAGGCTGTCTTTCTGGATTCCATTTCAAAGGGATCTAGTTGCTTTCACTTAGTATAAGCAGTTTTTAAATTCCTATAAAATATGTTGAGCTAGTTTGAATAGTTCTGTAATTTGTCTTTGTTTCATGAGCCCCATGTAGATGTATAGTTCAGTGCTTAATAAGGAATTGAGATTAAGAAATCTCAACCTGGATCTGGTCTCCAACACATGTTTGCATAGAGACCTGTCGTATAACAAATGTGTAATCAGTGCTCATCTGATTGTGTGGTATGCATGTAAGACTATGTAAACATGGCATTCATTATATGAATGTTGCAGGGACCTGGACTGGTGCACTGCAGTGAGACAGAGAGTTCAATCAGACTTTCTCTGTTGTACCATTGGAGTGAATGGCTGCACAGAACTATTGTGTTCCAGTTTTATATGAATTCCAACTTTTCCTTTGAATGAGATGGAGTTTGTAAAGTTACAGATTCACAGTATAAACACTAGATGGTTGAATGCTATCCTGCAATTGTAAGCTTGGCTTAGTATAAATATAATCTCTTTTGTTTAATTAGATTACTTTTACCACTATTTGAAGAAGAATACTATTCACTTAAAAAGTAATCTATGGGTTCTGTCCATTGGGTGCATGAGTAGAAGGCAAGTTCCTTTCCCCTGATACTCCCTGTACCTACTTAAAATCCTTCCAGAGGACTAAGAGAATCTACTGACCATTGTGCGTTGTATTGTACATGGCTGTAATAGAAAAGGGAATTGGCCAGAATCAGATGGGGGGAATCCTGCAATATCAGAGCCTGATGACTTAAACCATGGCTAATACATCCCTGTTGGTTCTCTTGTACCCTTGATACGATTAGCAGTCATGTTCTTCTTGACCATCTAGCTGGATTGTGGTCAGAAAGCACTGTGAAAGATTATTATGTTCCTTCTTGGAGGGCCAAGTGTGCTGTTCAGGAGTTCACCGGGAGTTGACACTAACTAGGATGGCCTTTAAATGTGCCCCAGAAGGCTATATAGGGTTTCCTCCTAGCATGTTCTGCATTTCAACCATAGAAGTCCTTTGTGCCACCCAAAAATCATATTCCAAAGAGCTTCTCATCCCTCAAACAGATTTTGAGGGTCTGCTGACAGGGCAGGGAATCAACTCCTCCTGTTTCCCCCTGTGGAAGTGTTTCTCTAATGCAATGACACCACTGGATTCAATCTATTGTTTTTGTTGCCCTTTCTGTTACTTGTTTTAATATTATTGTTGGCTCTTGCAACTTTCTAATTTTATTTATAAATTGTTTTGTGGTTTTCAAATACATTGTTCATACAATGTAAGTTTATATGTTAGAGCTTTCCTTGGGAGGCCTTTGTCCTGAAATATGGATTAAGAATATATGTAATTTTAGCTATATTCTGCAAGTTGCATGCTGCTGTTTGTATGAATAACATAATTAGGTTTAGTTTCCTTAATCAGAGTTTTAGCTCACAGGTAAACTCAGATCCAACCCTTTGCTTCATAGCCTTTTCTGTATTTTCTGTCATCATGTGACTGCTTCAGAATATATTAGTGGATTGAATTTTTCAGAAGGGCATGTCAGCTTGTTGGAACATTGGAAGCATGTCAATTAAAAAGAGTTTAATCTATAAATGTGATATGCTGATACTGACATTTAGAATCATAGAATAGTAGAAATGGAAGGGGCCAAGAGAGCCATCAGGTCCAATCCCTCTACTGTTGCAGGTCACCAATTTAGACTTTTGGATTTTCATCTGAGCCATTCCATCTGTCTTGAAAAATTGACTAAGTTCTGTTAAAGTATTTCAGAAATAAATATGGAAACTGGTGGTGTTTTGATTAACATTCAGTCTAATTTTGGCAAACCAATGATAGTCACTTTGATAATTTGCACTGCAAACTACTTGAGTGCTTAAACGTTTTACTTTTTAATTTTTTAGATTGGGTAGGTTTCAAGTAGAATGGAGGTATATAATGCTACTTGCAAAAGCGTGTATGCTTTTTGTTAATCCAGCAAAATTAAATCCAAAGAAGTACATTATATTTTAGAGGAGTTGTCTAATTATGTGTGATACAGTTCAGCCTGCACTGTGAAAATAACTAAATATTGAGTCATTTTTAAGCTTGATAACATTATTTATCCTTCTCTTTGGCCCCTAACCCATTACTTGTAAACTGTTTTGTGCGTAGTCAAAGTAGTTCCTCCTAAACCTTTTTCAAGCGCATCCCGCAGCAAGGCACTGGCTAAATACAAAACATTGGAAAAATCCCTTAACGCAAAGAAAAGAGAACATTTAAACAATGAAGAGATTTCTGCTACTGACAATCATAATGATACTGAGGGTAACAAATCTAATCTGGCTTCTCACTGTTTTTACATATAATTGAAACACACATTTTTATTAAAAAATTACCTCTTTTGAATTAAAGCTGTTGGTTTTTACAACCAAGGTGATGATGGGTTCAATGAAGTAACCGGGGCTCTATTTCCTGAAATATGTGCGGATCTAGTTATTTGTTTTACAACCTACCAACTGTTCTAATTGTTTGTCTTTAATTATTGGATGTATTAATAGAACACTCAACCTTTGGGAATACCTATCTGTTACATATAAACCAAGAACTAGCAGCCTGTTGCGCACAGGATTTAGATGTACATTATCTTTTGGCAAGAATCTGTGAATGAAGTAGCCTGGTTATTACTGAAGGTGTACAGTAGAAATCTAAAGAGCACCCATGTGCTTTGGGCATGATGGGGGCATTTTATTTTTCATTTTGCAGTCCTTGAGGTAACTTTTGAAAGCAATATGTAAATTGTACTTACCAATAAAGTGTTCTTTGAGATCTTCATCATGCAGTACACTTGTACCTAAACAAAATATTCATATGTTCCTTTAAAAAAATGTTATAATGTTTTCCCCTTTCCCCTTCTTTGTTTTAAGGAATACATGGCAGAAGGGGTAGCTTTCTGAAGTCAAAAAGGCTTTCTCATTCCATTGTGGAAGTAGATGAAGATAATGCAGAAGGCATTCAGCTCCAACAACCTAATGTTTCTGTCTCTTTAAGTAGGGATAGCCTGGAAACTAATGGTAAAAGTACTTGAAATACCCTCTTCCTCACTGTACTATTTTTAACCAATTAGTAACCAACATATCTCAGGTTATGTTTTAGTTATAAACATAGTTTTTAAACAAGTATACATGCTGAATAAGTAAGAATACTGAACTGAACATTTCACAACAGTACTACACATTTATTTTTATGCTGGTGCCATAATTAAAAACACTGGCTTGTTCCAGCTACAGTAGTTCAGTCCAGTTGAAAAAAGTAGCATCTTGGGTTTTTCGGAATTGCTTCCATTGTATCATTGCTCTAATCCAGTGGTTCATTCTAACATTTATTTAATACATTTCTTTACTGCCCAATAGCCAAAACACTCTCTTGGAGTGCCAGTGTACAAACCCTCACAGTGTCCAAAACATATTTCCTGTTACTTTCTATATGGAGAACGTTTGTAGGCCTAGATTGACTTCCTGTATTGAAATAAATGGGAATACAAAGCCATGTGCAATAGATATTTGCATCCTGATGCATACGAATCTCTGGTTTTGAAAGGATATGTGTCGGATCAAGTCATGCATTTGGTGACATCATAGATCTGTGCATTTTACTATTTAAAGCTGAGTTTGCACATTATTAGATAGTATTCCCCTGTAATTACCTCTGATGAAAATGAATGCATACTTATTAACTGTACTGATTTACACTTTTGTATTAATATTTATATTGGCATGCTTTTACACTGTAGATTCAGTTGTTGCTCTGGGGCCTGCTGAGAATTGTTTGCTAGCCGGATTGGATACTTTGGAAGAACAAGAGGAAAAGGAGCAGTTCTTTGCTGATCTTGAGAAGGGAGTATCATCTACTATTGACTATTCAAGATTAAATAAGGAGCTGGACTCCAATAATTCTGAAGAATTACAAACATTTCTAAGGTAAAGTAATAGGGATCAACAGTGGTTGTAATTCTAGCACTCAAATTTCAAAACAGTCAGTTGTGAACTGTTTCAAAATTTTATTGTTTTAGTTGTATATAAGTATTATTTATCAACAATTTCATTTTAAATATCCAAGTTTTTCTAACAGCAAAATTCTGTGCTGTGACTAATTACACAGATTAAAGAGTCATGCTATGACAAATGTATAGTCATGATTCCGGTTGCAAAAGATGTGTAACATTTAGGACTGGGACTTGAAATATTCTCCCCATGCAGCCATGAAAATCACAGTGTAGCTTTAGGCAAGTCAATGACTCTCTGACTAAACTACTTAGCAGGATTTCTTGAGGGCAAAATGAGGAGAAGAATGGTCTGTATGCCACTTCAGCACATCAGAGAAAAGGTGGGATATAAATGTAAAAAATACTGAAAATGGTTTCCATCAGCTATGGGACATACAAGGCCTTTGATGGAAATCACAAATTAGGAGCAGACTCATACAGAAGAAGGCAATCTTTTGACTCTCCAGACCACAAGCCATTTAGTGCTATAAAAGTTAAAACAACATTGTGAATTGTGCATGGTATCAAGTTGGAATGCTCTGTAGTTGCTTCAAGATTCTTAAGGTGCATGCTGAAGAGAGCCTGATGGCCACATTACATTCTCTAGTTTCTAAACATTTTCAATGATAGCCCCACATATACAGTGTGGCAATAGTCCAATTGCAAGATAATCAAAGCACAGATTATTGTGGACAGATCAGCCTTCTCCAGCTTATTTTATTATTGGATTAATTAAACTCCCAGTATTTATCTGAGAAAAAACACCTAAGATCTATTTATTAGATCAGATTTAAGGGAGTATTTAAATAAAATATTAGATCAGATTTAAGGGAGTATTTAAATAAAATAAAATATAAAATAAAGTATTTAAATAAAATATTTTAAAAAGATTACTGAAATGTGCATTTTCAGAGAATCTCTTTCATTGAAGGACCTCACTCACTAAATTAAAGTACAAGAAATGAAAATAGCACAAGCAACTATTTTATCTAAAGTTATTTGTTGATTATGTTCAAAAATGATGGACCCATGAAATGCTATGATAAAAATTTAGCTGTGAATTTAATCTTATTTAGCTTGAGGAAAGAATTCATATTGCTTTAGGATTCAGTGGTTTTAGGTGAATGAGGTATCCTTCAAGTTTTATCTTTATGGAGATGGTGTGGTTGAAGACTTTACTTGAGAAAATTATGTAGAGACCTAAGCACTAATTTTAAAGTTGTCTGTATATACAGTTTGTTTGTTTGTTTAGAAAGGTATGCTGTTAGTTGCCAGAACAACAGAGCAGTCTATACTATGAGCATTAGAAAATATATTTTCAATTTATCACTGAGTGAAAGATACTTTGTCATAAATACTATTGTTATATTTTGTAGGAACCACCCAGAAGTAAACCGGTTGGAGGAAGGAAATGACTGTGAACCTAAGGATCATGAAAAATCTGGTAATTTAGAGATCAGTGGCTTTGAGATAATGTGCTTTGTAGCCCGCAGTTTATGAACAATTATTAATTTGTGGAATGAATTGTCAAAGGATGCTGTCAAAGTCAGTTTGAATTAACACATTTGTGGTGTGGTGTTTAAGACCAGAGGACTGGGACTCAGGCTACCGGGGTTATACGAGGGATGTTCAATGTATTCTCGGTATCAGCATGAAGAAAAAGGAATAATAAAGTGAAATAATTTTTATTTTTCAGTACAGTCCCCCATAACTTCAATACACTTATTACATCTAGAAATTAACTTTTCAGTCCCCTGTAAAAAATACCCTTCCTCCTTGTCTAAAAAATGTGCATTAATTGCCACCTTGAGCTCTTCATCATCAGAAAATTGCTTTCCATGAAGATCTTTGTTTAAATTCAGGAATACGTAGTAGTCACTGGGGGCCAGGGCCGGGCTATAGGGTGGGTGGTTTATTTCTTCGAAACCACAGTCTCGCACGGCAGCCTTCAAAACACGCGCCATGTGAACGGGTGCGTTGTCATGAAGACGCAACACACCTGTGGTCAGTTTTCCCCGCCTTTTTTCTTTAATTGCTTCTCTTAAATTACGCAGAGTGGTTGTGTAAAATGCTGCGTTTATGGTTTCACCTTTTTTCGTGTACTTGACCAATAAAATTCCCTTTGAGTCCCAAAACACTATGGCCATGATTTTTCTGGCCGGTGGAGTGACTTTGAATTTCTTCGGAGGGTCAGCACCTTTTTTATGCCATTGCATGGACTCCTGCTTACTTTCACGGTCATAGTGATGAACCCAAGTTTCATCTCCAGTAACAATCCGGTTGAAAATACTCGATGGATCGTCACCACAGAGCTCTAAAAACTCCCTACAGCACTCGACTCGCACTTGTTTCTGAGGTGCCATGAGCATTCGCGGCACCCATCTTGCACAGACCTTTGAAAGGTTAAGATGGTCATGAAAAATAGTAAATAAGGTACCAATGGATAGGTTTGTCATCTCTGCTAACATTTTGATTTTTATTCAGGCATCTTCCAATACAAGTTTCTCAATTTTTTTCACATTTTCTTTCATAGTGACAGTAACCTGCCCGCCCAAGCGAGAGTCGTCTTCAATGCTTTCTCTGCCCCTTTTAAATTCACTTGACCACTTTTGAACAGTAGATAATGAAGGTGCAGAGTCCTGGTAAATGGCCACCGTCTTTTCGTGAATGATTTTTTTACTTTTTCCTTGTTTTGTAAGGAACTTAATCACAGCGCGGTGCTCGATTTTCTTCAACATTGTCGCGTCAGTCATTACGGTCGTCTTTCACTAGGGAACTAATGATCACACTTACTTGAAATTTTGCCCTCAGATAGTGTCATTAGCAAATGAAATAATTAAATTACATCAGTAGCAAATCAACCTGATACCGAGAATTCATTGAACACCCCTCATAGTCCCTGCTCAGCCATGGAGCCAACTGGGTGACTTTAGGTGAATCACAGACTTTCAGCCCAACCTACCTACAGGGTTGTTATTGAGGGCAGGAGGAGGAGAATGGTGTAAGCTGTTTTGAGTTCTTTAAAAGGAAAAAAGCAGGATATAAATCTAACAAATACATAAATAAAGATACATCACAAATGTTTAAAATACAATCTCCATATGCTGTGTGGGTGATGCTACTATTGAGAAAAATAGAATATATTGTTGCCTACTCTTGGCAACAAAGTGCTGGATCAGATGCACCTTTGGCTTCATTCAGGCCTTTCCAACAGTGCATGTAACATCACAATATTGCTAAAGAAAGTGTAACAATTTTTTTCAGTACTTACTGCGGAATAGCAACATTTTTAGTACAGTGCTTGTTTTATTGGAAGTACTGCATAATTAAATGAATTAAATACAGTATAATTAAATGAACTAGGACTTTACTACTGGAGTTTATGTGATCTAGGTTCTCTTCACTAAAAGGAGAAGCAAGCAGTTCTTCCTTCTCCTGGAGCAATTCTGCTGCTCTTTGAACCTGTGCAGCCTGCTGAAGGAGGAGGCTAGGGAATAACGAGTAGATCTGCTGATGGGACGATTCCAGACTATGGCTTGAAGTAGCATCTTCCCACCATTTGATCCGATCCAAGAAAGGTTTATATAGATCTTTATAAAGAAAACAGCATTGCTGTTTCTGCCTATTTCCCATGAAGAATTAACAAATACCTTGTCTCCCCCTCCTTCCTCACAGGTGATTATAGTGAGGATTTTGAAGACTCAGAATCTAATGAAGACCAGAAAGTTGAACAAGCTGTCATGCCAGAAGTCAATGTAAGATTTTTGGACAAGTGCAGCTGTTTTATGTTTTCAACATCACTGGCAATCAGATTGTGTGATTTTGAGGGAGTTTATATCTGAATAAGGACCTGTTCAGACAATTACAGTGCAATCTGAATCATGTTTACTCAGAAGTGAAGCGCACCAAGTTCAGTTGTTGCCTTGCTGAATGCATGAACAGTGGCCAAAAAGATCCAGATTCTAAGAAAGTGGGGTGGTAAAGATTTATTGGTTGGCCTTGCTATGGTGGCAGGGATAGAAATGCTGTTTGTTATAACCACTACAAACAGTTCTTGAAATAGCAAAGAACAATAGAAACATCAAATGCAACACAATGGAGTACCCTTTGAAAGCTGCAGCTAATTAGAAAGAGCAAGAAGGAATAATAGAATAATAGAGCAGCTGCTTTGTATGCTGAAGGCCCCCATTTCAGTCCCTGGCATGTCTAGGCAGGGCTCGGAAGGAATCCTGCCAGAATCTTTGGAGAGCTACCACCAGTCAGTGTTGAAAGTATTGGACTTGCTGAACCAGGAGTGTAACCTAGTTTAAGGCAGCTTCTTCTGTTAATGTGGCCATACCTTCTGATAAGGGGATCTGTTTCTAATTGGAACAGACACTGCTAATGGATTGAAATAGCTCCCCCTCTGTTCCAGCAGCTCTGTGCTTTACTCTGGAAGATTAGAAGATCCTCCACAGTGGCAGGGAGCTGGGGCTGCAAGAAGAATGAGGGGAAAGGAAGCCCCCATCACACAAGCAGAGGTCTGCTTGCACAGTGTTGGTTTTAGACCAGTACTTTGAGTGTTATGATTTGTTCTAAGTTCAAAACTACAGCACTTACCAGTAGTGTAAATCTTATGATTTAGTCCCACCTGAATTTTATACAGGTGCAAGATTACATGGTTCTGGTACCCTAAATTAGCCTCTCCCAACATAATGTCCTTCAGAGGCATTTGAACTGCATCTCCCAGAATTACCATCCATCAGAACCACTGACTAGGAATTCTGGGTGTTGCAGACCAAACATGTCTGGAATGCAGAAGGTTGGGAAAGATTACCCTAAATGATAAGCCATGCAGTTAACAATGTAAACAATTGCATAAAGGTTTCCTTTTTAGTAACTAAAGTACATACTTTTAAAATCCATGAATATTCATTCACCTTCTCTTAATTTTTAGGAGGAAAAGACTGGCATGCTGGCTAAAGGTACAGAATTCAAAAGAGATAACAAAACAAGTTATAAATGTAGCACACAAACAGATTTTTGCATATGCCACGGCCAAATTTTGCTGAAACATAGGCCTGTATCCTTAAAAAGATTTCAGCGCTAGCTCTGAATATGCAGGGCAATTTTGCTTTAGAAATGGTTTGTGGCTGTAGAAATAAGTATTTTTCCTTTTACTTCAAAGTTGAGCCATTTATACTTCCCTTTCGAATCAAAGTAATCAGTATTAGTTTATTTATCTCCATTTTTGTCTAGAAAGAGTTCACCAAGGTTTTGGTATCAAATCTGTCATCAATAATCAGTGTAATGCAAACTAGCACAGATGTATTCTTGGGTTGAATCTGCCTAGGAATCAGTTTAAGAGGGAAGTTTAAATGTGTACCTTACTTAATATAAGAACAAACTAAGCACTTAACAGAAATATTCACTTTTCAGCTTTAAACAGAATTTAAAAATCTAAATAATATCAAATACTTTATTCTTAGATTTCAGTACACCACCAGTCATTCTACAAAGATAAACCGACATGCACTATACCATTCCAGCTTGACTTACTGTGAGCTACATACTACCCATTGTACATATGTTTACTTAGAAATATATCACCTGAAGTCAGTGTGGCTTTTCCCCAAATTAGTGATCATAATTTTGCAGGCTTAGCTTTGAAAATTGTGAGAAACAAATCAAATCTTAAGTGGACACAGAAGCAATGGCCTAATAATAAAAAGCCATCATTTGGTACAATTGAATTGTCTGGTATTATACTGAATTGTTAATTATTCAAGCTCTGTTACTAATTTTGCTTGTTCACCTGCTCTCATATACTACCTCTCTATAGTTGAAACATATTCCAAGCAGTTAACATCACCTTATTTGTGAACTTTCCCATGGGCAGTATCCAGTGAGGTGATATGCCCACAGAATTCCATTAGACCATCTCTGATTCAGTTCTGATTCAATTCTGCAAAGCAGCCAGTTCTTCCAGCTAATTCTGCTATGCAAATAGGACTTCTTGCTTGTGCAACAAAGAGTTGATGGTTCCTAGAGAAAGCCTTGATATGAACAGAAATTCTGGTTTTGATCAAGACAGATCAGCATAACTCCATTACATGAGTTCCACTAATCCACCCTGTTCCAAAAAAGAGCTGTTACTCTCATGAGTACTAAATCTTTGTTTCGCAACCACAGGCTACTGGTTGTGGGACAAAATGTGTGGGTCTCAGTGGAATCAGCAAAAGGGTAGCCTTCCTTGTAGACATTGCCCAATAACTGTTTAGTTATAAAATAACTAAACATTTTCAGGAGTAAACTGAGAGTAAGCTATGGTTATTTAGAAGGATCGTTCACAAGCAGCATTCTGGTTAATAGAAAAGCAGAAGCTTGGCATAGGCTATTTTATTTTATAGGAGTTATAATCCTGTCAAATGGCAGTATTCTGTAACCTTTATTTCCTTTTTAGTTCTTCTTCTTGATTCCCAGGACTCAACTTTGGATGCTCAAAAAGTCAATGAACAGCAGGATATAGCTTTGGAAGAACATTCACTACCTCATGAAGCCACTGCAGAGGAAATGAATGGAACAGGTACAACTTTTTAGTGACAATGTATTTCTTCATTTGCTAACTGTTATGAAAATTCAATTCAGAATTATTCTTTGATCATGAATTATAAACCTTTAAGGGCCCAAACAAGCAAAGCTAATGCCTGTGAAGATTTCTCTCAGAGAAAATCAAACATGATAAATCAAAAGGACTGGGCATGTTTAAGTCTAGCTGGATTGTGTCCACACTGCTTAATGTTTTGTTTTGTTTTTTTTTTCAAAATATGTGAACATGTAGACAAGACCAGATTCGAAATTCTAGTTCTGAACTGTAGAAGGAAAAGAAAAAATACACAATTCTTTTGCTTTGTTTTTGACTGATTTTCTTTAGTTATTGTGTTTATATTAATAGTAAAAGATGTAATCCACATTTAGTGACATCAGTAACAATCATTTTTGTGACCCCCAGCTTTACTAAGCTTATTTCCTTGAAAGTAAGTCTTCCTGAACTTGGTGAACCAAGAATAGCAGTCAGTATTTGGTTGTTACATCACATGGACCCAATGTGGATTCCCACTGTGGGTAGTTTTTTCCAAACTACACATGATGAGAACCCACAGGACATTTTAGGGTTACTATTTACCGTGATGAGTTGTCATGCCATCTGAAGCCAGACGATTGATACCATCATGGGAGCAACTCACTTCAGAAGACTGATAAGAAACCCCTATGGTAGCCCCTCTAAGGCAGCCCCTCTTGAAGGGAACTGGTGGCATTCCAGAGGGGAATCAGAAAATACGGCTTTTCTGCTCTCTGAGGGGACTTAAAAAAGAGAAAACAGCCATGGCAACCTGAAAATGCTTGGCTTCCCATCAAGAAGGGAAGGAAGACTTGCTCCTCCTGTGGTATCTCCTGGAAAGCCTCCTGGAGGACCAAATTGGAGGGCAAGAATGAAGCATCCAATTGTCTTCTCTTTCTGGAACAATCAGCTCATCATGGCAAAGTGCAATAATGGATTCTCATGAAGTATGAACCCCACCCAGTCTATAGCATTGCAGTGTTAGTCTCTTTAATTACCAGTATATTAGTGTTGAATAGATGTTTTCATTTGGTTCCACTCTACAAAATTTTTTCTTCTCCTTCCTCAGGTATTTCCTGTGGTCAAACAAATAGTGATATTGAAGCTTTGCATCAGGCTTACTGCCACATTGAGCAGTCTTTAGGAGATACTGATGAGCAAAAAAATAATGTTGATAAAATGATAGCTGCAGAGAACTTGATCAGAGATGCTTCACAGGATAAAGAAGACTGTCCCAGAAATACCTCCGCTACCGATTCTGGTAAATTCTGAAATTTCCCAATATTGAATTGATAAGGCATATTTAAATAAAATATGCATTTTAACTTTTGGATAGAACCAAGAAGAAGACAAACAATGGTCCTTTCAGAGAATTACTAGAATTTTGACTACTATTCCTTGTAATGTGCAATTGCTGATGACCCCATTTGTTTGCTGCAGAGATGCAGCAGCCACTTCTACAATTGTATAGGTGCGACTAATTCAAGTATTAGCTATCATCAAGCTGGGAAGAATGGTAAGCAGTTATTGGGTGAAAGAGATTCGGGTGTTGATGCTGCCAAGGGAGTTCCGTTATCTGTACACAAGGAAGACAGCTAGTGTGATGTAATGGTAAAGAGCACAGGACTGGGATTCAGGCAGTCTGGGTTCTAGTCCCCACTCAGACATGGAGCCAACTGGGTAACTTTGGGGCAGTCACAGATTCATGGCCCAACCTCTACCTCACAGGGTTGTTGTGTAGAAAAGATTGAGAGCAATGGGATGAGAATGGTGTAAACCACTGAGTTCTTTTTTTAAAAGGCAGGACAGAAATCAAATAAATAAGTGATCCCCACACATTTGAGCATATATGTGAATACAGTCAGTGATTCATTTTATTAATAACTTCATACTGTTGGGCCTTCATACTGTTTACACATAATGGCAACTCAGAATATGGATTGTCACTGAATTATGAATTGTTGTTGAACTGTGGGTTGTCCTTATGTGCAAACCATGCATTACAGTTTAAAAATAGGATTTTGAACATACAATTTTCATGAAGAGAACCCATGATTTCTAGTTGGGTTTGTGAACTCTGAGTTGTTAGTGGCTAACATCCAGTAGTTCAGCCATAGTGCAGAGTTCACCCATCATAACAATCCATGATTTAATGACAAGCTGCACTCTGGGTTGTTGCTATATGTGAACCAGGACTTGGAATCATATTCCTTAGCACTTTCTTCCCAGTCCCTCTATCTCCATCGCCCAATGCTCCTGCTTAATAGGCAGTGACTGCTATATAAGCAATCTGTTCATCAGTTAAATATCGATGCAAGCTGTTACACAACCAAGCATAATTACTGCTGCAGTCTGTCTTACAATATATACATACCTTCAGGACCATTGTGCCAGGCTTGAGGATAATACTGCTTTTAAAACTGCAGTTTGTACTGTAATTGCTTGATCTGCTCTCTGTTCAAAAGATTTACCTGGGAGAATTGGCATAAAAGTGAAGGAGTAAAATGTAGGAAGACAACTGTAGAGAAATACAAACAATGAAAATACATATATAAAATAAGGATTCGGTGATTTGAAAGTAGCCCATGGTGGTTCTGAATTAACTCACAAAAGGGATGCTTGACATGAATATACCTGTCAAGCTTTGGGCACGAAATATCAGACACCATATAACTGGAGATGTTGGGAGCTCTTGAACTGTCAAACTATGCATTGATTATTGCAATCAAATAAAATGTAACTAAATCAATGGGTACATTTTATTTGAAAGAATTTTGCCATTGTGCCTTTATCTAGGACACTTTCATTTCCTCTTCTCAGATTTGCCCACCATAGAAGAACTGATGAAACCTATCAAGGCAGATTCATCTTTTGCCAGAGGCTATGACCTGGAACCTGCAAGGTATTCATTGATTCATTCTAGAAAATTCTTGGTTGAACCAATTATTCATGGTGCATCCTTCATTTCTGATCCATTCCCCCCCATCCTCAACCCCTGTCCAGGGGTTTTAAGGCTCAGTAATAATCTGCATTTTGTGGTTAGCAGCCTTAAGAGTGTAGTCCAAGCCAGTCTGGAAACTCTGAAGATGATCCAGAAACTTCAGTTAGTGCACAGTGTGGTTGCCCAAATGAGGGCAAGATGATTATATCATATAATATATGGTTGCCCAAATGTGAGGTGAAGACAAAGGCAAAAGGGATAGGGTGAAAATATCACCATTATGGGCATATTGTAGCTTAAAGCTGTTACTGCCAGCATTTTGAGCTTTTAGAATAGGAAAAATCCTTCACACAAGCTGAGAAGCTACCCAGTGATCAGTGGTAAGTGGAAGGGGACAGGGCCATCTGTGGAATGCAAGAGAGCTAGATTTGGCTAGTGGGCTTGAGGTTCCCCTGCCCAGTCTTCAGTTGGGCATCGTTTATTTTCCCATTATGCATAAGCATAAGGCCTCCCTTTAAACACTTGCTTTTATTTAGAAACATGATGTGGGAGAACAGCTAATAAGATTGGGTGTTGTGTTCCTCTTGCTTCCTTGCACCAGCTTTAAAGCACTCCCCTAAACTGTACTGATGAAGCAACAGGCATGGCAGGGTCTGTTTGTTTTTGGCAGCAATCCCTGACTAGGACCAGCTTTTGGGGTAAGGAGCTTTTAGCAAAAATAGAGACCATACATCTCTCCCTGTCGCACTTGGTGGAGTATACAATGCTGCTGTGTAGCTGCTATTATATTATCTGCTGTTTCTGTCAAGGTTGCTGAAAGCCCATTTGGAAAGGTCAAGCCATCCATTTAATGTTCTCCATTAATAGTTACATAAGTATAGCATGTAACCCAGTGTCAAATGCACATAGTCTTTTGATATTGTATCATCTGTGTTAGGGAGGAAAGGTGAGATCTAATCAAGTATGCTTTTTTTATTTGCCTATAGCTGTGTGAAAGTCACACACAATGACACAAATGAATTGCCATTTAAAGAGCACCAGAATGTTATTTCTCTGGAAAAGCAAAACAATAGCTGTTCGTTGGACCATCCTAGTGAGCAAGAGGATGGGTCTGTTCAGCCGGTTGTAAAGGAAGACAGTCCTCAGCAATGTGTTGGCAAAGACAAACTGGCTGATAAAATTAAACATGATACCTTGACACAAAATAATCTTGTAAATTCTTTGGCATTGCATCAAGACAAAAATCATAGCCAGGTAAGCAGCATCAGCTTGTCTTATTTAAATTGTTCATAGTTAATTTTATACATGTATAAATCACAAAATGATTTATTGTTCTTTTCACATTATCCTGAGAATCTGTAGAACTTTGTTAGAGACTTAAAAGAGCAGGACATAGTATTTTTCAAGACATTCTTTACATATGTAGACTGTTCGTGTGAACTGCTCTGGTTCATATGTAGCCCTGTTACATACAACTATTTTAAAGTTCTGAGTAGAAATATATATGCCTCTTGTTATTTGTTTTTCGGCGCAAGGCGAAGACCTTTTTATTCAAACGTCATTTTAACTGTTAATACTATTTATTTATTTTATTCTTCGGCCAGGGTGACTTATTTTATATTGTTAACTTGTTTTATATTTTTATTGTATAATATTTTAATTGATATATTTGTGAGCTGCCCCGAGGCTTTGGCGAATGGGGCGGCATAGAAATTTTCTAAATAAATAAAATAAACCCCACTTGCTGAGAAGTATGAGCAAGAGGGTGCTTCTGTCCTGCTTTCAAACTTCTCACAGGCTTCTAGTTGGCTACTCTGGGAACAAAATGGTGAACTTTGTTCTGATTCAGCACAGCTTTTACGTACTTGTCCTGCCATATATACTAGGTGCTTGTGTGTCCTTTAATCACTAAAGGTGCAATCCAGTGCATGTCTTGGTAAAAATGTCTATATATAATGTTGTCCACAGATACATCAGCACAGCACTTGGACTAAAGAGGATTTAAAGTTGATTAAAAAACAAGTTATGCACAAGAATACCAAAAGCACAGCAATACATAGAAAGAAAGCTCTGAGTGGACCTCATAGCTCTGTTAGAAGTTCTGGGTATGGAAAATCCAGTTGTTTATTAAAGCACTTTCCTGCTGGTAATGAAAAGACAGAAAGCATCAAAAAGCCAGTTTTGAAATCCAAATCTCCCCCAAGGCAAAAAGGTACTTGCTGTTTAATGCAAAAGTGTTTATTCTGTTGAAGAAAAATCGCTGGGTAGAATCCAGTGGTGTCATCCACAAGCTCAAATAATCCTAACAGAGCTCCACTGAAACTTTCCATTGCCCAAGTGATTGGGCAACTTTCCATTGCCCATTGCAGAATAGATTGTGGAAATAGTTGCTCAATGAGTTGCACAAAAAATGCATGCAACTACTCTTGCACAGGCATCACTTTTGTTGAATTCTTCTCTTGTGCATAGTTCAGAAACTAGTTTAACTAGTGCAGCATCATTCATGCTAATAGAATGACACAGCTGGATGCTGCCCTTTGAGTTTAAGATTCATCAAGATTATTACATTACTGCATACTACATCTTGCAAAAGAATATTTAAAAACATGAAAGCTTTGGAATGTAGAAACATGGTTTTGGCATCAATGTTTTGTAAATGAACCAGAGCTCAATACTTAACTAGATAACTGTGAATATAATATTATACTTGAAATGTGTCAAAATGTATTCTGCAAACAAGTCAAGATGTGGAAGGAAATGTATCTGATTTCAAGTTCATAGAATCAGCATAAGCAGAGGGTAAGAGCTATACTTGGATACATGAGACTTCAGTTTGTGACCTTAAACTCCTCCAAAGGGCAACATCAGGGTCTCCATGTATTTTATTTTTTCCCCTGAAGGACTATGAAATGCCATTGTGCATCTGGGAACCATTTTTGAGCAAAGTGGTAGTTTTTAGAGTAGCTGTGAAAGTTGCTGGTGCAGGGAACAGGAAATTTGCAACTGAGAAACTCTGGAGGAAAGATGCCACTTCAGGCTATGGTCAGATTTCATGGTAAGAGGAAGGGGTGTGGAGGCGCTGTACAGATTGACAGACACATGTGCATTGTTTCAGCAGGCACATTCCTTACATAATGTTTGTTTAAAGGGGATCTTGTCCCAAAAACTGGAAGAGTGTTTCTTGTAGTTTTAAATGTGTTGGTAGGTAACGGAGTATAGAGAAAAGGATAGTGTCTCGTGGAAAGAGATTTTGTTTTATCATAGAGCTACACCTTTACCTTGTATCCATCTGATTTTTAAACTAGGAAACAATAATAATAGCAATAAGTACTATTTCTGTACATTACATTAATTACTAACAAAAATAGAAGGTTTCAATATACATTTTGTAAAGTGAGTAAATCTAGTGTTTTAAAATATAGCACACAATAATTATTATTTCTCCTATCAAAGAAACTTCTGGAACTAAGATAATGCAGACAACAAATGATTCAGTTACTCCAAAAAGAAATTCCTGTGCTATACTTGGAAAGTCATCTGCAAGTAGTCTTCAACAGCAAGCTAAGGATTGCCTCCAGATACACACTGTAAGCCTTAGTCACAACTTTTAGGTTGCATTTTTTAATGGAGGTGTCAGAGAAAGTAATACAGCAACAAATCTATTTGCAGAATATTTTGAAACCAACTGTCTCATTGCCCCCCATGTAGTCTGCCCTCCACGATGAGAAAGGTACACCAGTTGATCCCCCCATTGTCTGGTGTCATATGTGAGAATTGAGACCATAATGTAACCCCAAACCATTGCACAAAAATCTCATGCATGCATTTGATATCTTACTTAGATTACAGTTTCCCTTTCAGTTCAATAGGAGTCCACTGTAGGTAGCCAAATCTTCTGCCATTTAAAATTGCATAGAGCTAGAACTAGAGGTTTATGAATGGGGTTATGTTCATGAAATACTCCATGGACAGGGTGGGAAGAGGTAATGTTCACTGATTCCCTCCTCTGCTGTTCCTCACACAAGGCAAAATCTGTTGTAGGGAAGGTTGGTGGGTATTTCCAGACATCATAGGAATGTGTGCAGGAAGCTGCAGTGGAAGGACCAGCTAGCCAAAAGAAAAGGGAAAAAATGACCTCCTCCCATTTTCATGGAAGCCTCTGCTACAGTGCAGCCCCACCTGCAGAGGAAACAGGTCCTCTCATTCATGACAGCATTCCTCTTCATGGAAAAGGAATAATAATGGATCCAGGTATCATCGTAATACTATTTCATTTCACTTTATATTCTGCTTGGCTTCAGAAAGGTCAGAACAACTGATGTGGAACTCCATTGAGCTGTGAACTCATGCTGCTTTCAGCAGTGTTACTGTACTAGTCCCTTCCAAACCACTGACTGGGCACTAGGCATTTTTGAGCTTTCTAATGTAGCCATGTTAAGTTTTTTCCTTCCTGCAAGTGCCATATGACATCTTATTGCATTTGAAATATATCCTCATTAACACTTCATAGTTCCTATCTAGCTTTTAAAATATTGATTGAGATTATTTGTTGAAAAGTTCAATATTTGAAAAATATTTAAAGAAGGTGGTCAATTAATCTTGGTTTCTTTAGCAATCTGAATAGTTTTTTTCCCTGTGTCATTAGGTTGCTTCATATTCTCCTCTCCAAAATAGTGAAAGGGAGCTTTATTTACTAAAAAGGGTTCAGGAAGCCGAGGAAAAATTGAATGCAGCCAATGATTTGGTTCAACATCTAAAAGCCACATCTTTGCAAAAGGAGAAGGAAATGGAGACAAAAATCCTGGAAATGAAAATGCAACAAAATAAAGAACTTTTTCAGCTAAACCAAGAAAATTATGCTCTTCGAACACAGGTACTAATTATGCCTTTTCTCTTTTCATTGAAAAATAGTCTATTTTGTTAACTACCAACTAAGAATGCCACTTATTCTGTCATTTTAATTTCTGATAAAATCAAATTGTGAAACACTGCATTACTCATGACCGAAATCATCAAGATGTGACTCTTTGCTTTTAGAATAAGGATGGATTGACTCATAGCTGATCAAGTTACATTTTGTAGTCTTATCTGACTGGCTATATTTCATGTAAAAATATATAATCTTAGAAAAGATATGACCTCTGTAGAAACCGTGGTTTTTTTTTCCCCTCTTCATGTACTGTTTTCATAAAATGAGATAAATTTTTAAATGACATTCTGAGCTCATAGGTGGAAGGTCAGGATAGAAATCTGTTTAAGATAGTAACATTCCATTAAATGCAGAACCTTTTTAATAGAAGAAAACTTGTCTTCCTGGTAATTTTGTAAGCTGCACTTTATTTACAGTGCATATTTTGTTCTCAGCTAAATAATAGAGAAGATGTAAACAAAGGAACAAAGTGGTCACACATTTGGGGAAGAAGTCCAGATGATGGGGAAATGTTGAAAGAAATCCAAAAGGAAGTTCAAAATCAAGAGACCCTTCTTCAAGGGTATCAACAGGTAGAAATCTTTTAACTGTGTTACTCTGCTAGATAAATTATATATTTTATTGAGCCAACAACTTTAAACCTAAAAGCAATGTCAAATGCCCTATTTCTACTATTTGTGTGTTCACTGGAAGGAAGAACTATAATGGGTCAAATCCACTATCTCATGAGTACACGTCCACTTCTATAATAGATCTTCTCCTTGGTCTTCTCTCTCCTAATCTGTTCCTGAGAGTGTCCCATACCTTCAGAGCAGATTGGGAGTATAGCAGGGGAGGGGAAATCCATTCTGCCATCTGTTTGTCTTCCACTGGCAAGCAGGCAGTGGGTTGTGTCCAACTCAATAAAGCTTCAGGCTTTAGGACCAGACTAAGAATCTGCATAAACTGCTTATTTAAATCCCTACACAGATTCTGTATTTTCCAAACCAGAGTAGCCTGACTTGTTGAAGGGAAAAACAGACCTCCAATTCTCCTCCAACAATAATGTACCCTCCATATGTTATTGGACATTTGCTTCCAGCTCCAGCAAGCCATGCACCCTGGCTTCAGAGGACACCAGGCACTCACTGCTATTTAAGCAAACCAGAGTGGCTTAAATAGCCTAAATAGACCTTTACAAATACCATGGTAGAGCTATTATTCTAATAGCAAAACACTATAACCAGTAAATGGTCCACAAGGTATACACTGAACTGTATTGTACAATCAAAATAAGCCACTGTAGCTTATTTTGATCATGAGGACCAGGTCATTGCAGATCTTGGAACCATACACTGGTTAAATTGCTTTGCTACCACAGAGAAATAGTGCAAGTCTTCCTGCATTAATTCTTTATGATTTAAAAAAATCTTGATCTTTAAGGAAAATGAAAGATTATATAAGCAAGTGAAAGAGCTACAGCTGAAAAACAAGAAAAATGAGGAAAATATGTTTAAAGAAAATCAACGTTTAATGACTGAATTAGCATCCTTACGGTGAGTTATTGGAACTTCTAATAAAAATTTTTAATGGGTCTTAACACAGAAAGCCAAAATAAAGAGGAAGATATGACTTACCTTTGAGTAAATCCCATTTGGCACAGTTACCTGCTTCACCGGTCCCAACAGCCCACCATGGATGATCATCATGCTGGGCTGCAATGTCATACAGACCCTGTAAGTTTTCTGCAGGGTGGCTTATTTTTCATGAGCAAACCACTCTGAGAACCTATGCCTTGTTTTAAGGTTGTTCATGCCAGTGGTTGTTTGTTGTGTCATCCAAACCCAGAGGGGCAATTTTATCATGGATTACTGGGAATGGCTAGAAAGCTGACCAAGCAGACTGGCAAAAACCACTGCAGCTCCTCATGATCATCTTCATACGGCCACCATCCTCCTTCAGCCTCTGCATTTCCACCATTTGCCTCTCCATGTTACAGCTTTGCCAAGACATTTGTGTATATTTCCTGTTCTTATTCATTGCTCCCATAACCCATATTGAGATGTGACAGTTGGCAATGGAGAGATGCAGGAATGGGAGAGAGCCGAAAGTGGCTGGAGAGAAGGCTGTTTGTCTTCAAGTGTTCTTACTTCTAGAGTGGGTCCACTTCCTTTAGAGTAAAATGAAGTAGCCATTACTTTAAAAGGCATTTGCCAGGTAGCAGTGTAAATGCTGAAGTAGTAGACAGGAATATGGAGGTGTTTGGCTAAATATCATAGAGGCAGACTTACACAATAACAAAGGTTCATTTCCTCCCCCCTTCCCCCACCAGAAGCTGGCAAATGGGCTAGAGTATTAAAGTCTCATAAAATTTCATTTGGAGGGCTAATTTAGGGAGACAAACATTAGCCACTTGTTGCCACTTCTGCAAACAGTCCATTGGGGTTTCCCTTGGTAGCCAACAACCCCAATGGACTGATTGCAGAAGTGGCAACAAGGAGTTTCAGTTAAAGGTGCAGGGGGGGGGTGTTCCAAGCTTGAGGACTAAATGAGAGTGAGAGGAAGAACAAGCCACAACAAGCCTAGTCATCTGTCAAGAATATTGTGAATTGGCCAGTGAACAACCAACCCATGTTGGTTTAGCATGACCTACAAACCCACCCAATGGGGCATACATCCCAGTGTATTTTCAATGGATTGCATTGCAATTCATTCTTTAGCTAGAGGGAGTAAAACCACGTACATCACTCTCCTATTAAAATTACTGGGTTTGATGTGCTTAGGTTTGGCTGTATCACATTCTCTGTCATATACTAGGTGACACATGTAAAAGTTGCATTCTGAATGTTCAGTTTTATAATTAAATAATTCAGAATATATTGGTTAACTTGTGATTTTTAGTTAATACCATAAAAAGTTACCAGCAGAATTGGTCTGAACCATTAGTGATTTTTCTGCACAAAAGATTTATATTATGGATAGCATTGACTTTTGCAAGGCAAAAGATTTTATACAGCCTGTACATAAGCATGAGAATGGAAATGTTTGAATATTGATTTCAATTTATTTGAATTGAAGTTTCTTCAAAAGCTTTGAAATGGGGACCATTCAAGAAATCTCACTGCAGAGGTTCAGAAAGTCCATTGTGGCTGAACAGGTGCTATATAATCAAAGTATTTTGGGGACATGTGTATGCTTTAAAGGGGTTAGCACTGGAATTGGGTTCAGGAATGGAACTCTGGAATAATGATCCAAGTGGAACCACTGTGTGTCCTTTGTGAAGTAAAAATTGCAGGCAAAATTGCTAATCTTGCCCTTCCCCTTTTAATTTAAATTAGAGAACAAGTGGATAAAAATAATATTTTATCATGTGGAGCAGTGCAGAATGTTGAACCACCTAGTAATCAGAGTTTCACAGACTTGATTTTAGAACTTCGAGCAGCCAAAGTAAGTGTCTTTCCTATTCCTATAACTACTTTGCTGAATACTTTCCATTTTAAAGTCTAAAAATACTGTCAACAAAATTCTGACTTTGCTCACTCTGTACATCAAGTTGAAACCCTGAATGGCTTCAGAGCCAGGTTACTTGAAGGATGTTTCCTTCCATATCCACCTACTAATTCATAGTTTGCCTTGCTTATGGCCAGACAAATGTATTTCAATATTCTCTTTACACTCCCATAAATAGACATTTCCCTCACTTCATTTGATAAGACCATTTGAAGGAGGTCACTGACATGTAGAATGTCCATTACTTGCCTGACACCATGCACTGAACCTCAAGCTCATTTAAACTTTGGCTTCCCACTGGTGAACTCAGTTATAAACCATACAATACCACTGTTGAGGGAATGGTTGGAATGATATACCTGTATCCTTAGGCAGCTGTGCAGACTGGTTGCTGAATATGGAGAGTATTTTCCCATGCGGTGTCCCCAGTACAGCAGATGGGTTCATGGTAATCTCTCACCATATCCAGGCACCTGTGAGTTCAGTTTTTAAAAAGAGCATCATGTATCCTCATGGCTTGTATTTTTTATACCTTTGTTCTCATTCTGGGTGTGTGGTGAAGGCAATAGAAACCAATTTACTTGAAGAAAGAAAGCATCTAAAGCAAGAAAAACAAGCTCTTGAAGTAGACTTGGCACAAGTGAAGAAGGAGCGAGATTTGGCAAGAGTTCAGATTGCTTCCACTTCAGGTAAAGCACTGCTTTGAAGAGCCTGTTACCCTGTGATAATATAAACATTCTTCACTAGTATTTCTCTAAAGAAATCAAAACTATGAATACTTGGTTCCCATTACACTTGCATTGTGCTTGTGACGGTGAAGCCTTGTTACAAACAGTGAATGTATCAAAGAAGAACTAAGAGATCCTGGGATACAGGATGAAGGGGAAATACAGCCCCATTTTCATACTTTGGCCCTCCTTCTTTCTTTTCCACAAATGTGTGAGCTGGATGCACCACTTGTGTGAGTTCTCCCCTGAGAGACCAGCAGGAGAGAGCGATGGTAATCCCATGAATGGAACCACCATTCAATTTGTAATGAAAGGAAGCTGCCTTGCATCAAATTACTCTTGCCCAGAACCTCTTTCAGCCAATTTCAGAGATGCTTGAAGGTTGCTTTCCTGCAGTGGGCAAGGCTAAAATACCAGCCTGTTGTAGTATATTGCTTCCACTGCCAGTAAATAGGCTGTAGGAGAGGGATGTCAACCTTTTAGAGTGGGGGGAAAACAATTACAAAATTGAGGAAACAACTAACGAGTTGATTTAAGAGAAAGGGGTGGGACCAAGAAAGAACCCCAGAAGGCCAGATTTGACCCTCAGGCCTGAGGTTCCCCAGTTCACATCTAGCTCAAGTATTGCCTAATCTGATTAGTAACCGCTCTCCATGGTCTCAGGCAGAGCGGTTTCCATCCCCTGCTACCTAATCCTTTCAACCAGTGCTGCCAGGGAAAGCATGTGTGCTATCACATCCTAGAAAAGCACCTTGCTCTGGTCTTTGAAGTAAGTGGTAGAGTGGGGGGTGTCTGCCCACTCTTCCCCTGCAGAATGGCATTGCTTATACATGAATTAGGCAGAGACAGTCAATAAGATGAAAAGACCACTGAGTTCTGAGTGATAGCATGTGTCAAGAGGTGGAAGCGGAGGTGGAAAGATCTCCCACACTCTTTTTGATGCTACAGGGAAGGAAATCGTGGACAAAAATGGTGGCTGCAGGTCTCTAGTAGATTAGGGAGAAGAAAAACTACATTTTTAAATAAGAGGGTTTTTTCACTATGAAGAAACTGGGAAGAAAATGCTTTTGTTTTGCTTTTATGCTTCATTGTTGACTTTCAACTCTGCACTAATAATCTGTAAAAATAATTACAATTAAATAAATTAATTCCCCTCATTTAAAAAGCAACAATGAAGAGGAAAATTATATCTATATGTCAATGTTTTGTCACACATTTTTCAATGGAATATTTTACCTCCTAGCTGAAAAATCATATGAGATGAAAATTATGGAAGAATCTTACAAAGAAGAAATTACTCGTTTGCACAAAAGACTCCAGTGGTATGCAGAAAATCAGGAGCTCTTGGACAAAGATGCAGCTCACCTTAGAGGAGCAAAGGAAGAAATTGATAAACTGAAACTGGAGGTGATTGTAAGATTGGGCCACTTCAGTGGAGTTGAAATAGGCACAAGTGTCTTTAGCTAGGCATTAGAAACAGGTCTCCTTAATGCTCAGAAAAATACAAGAGCAACATGCATCCTAAACTTCACATATTTAATTGAAAGCCCACCATGGGCCATGTACTGTTTGAGCACAATGATGCTACCATACCTTTCATCTTTGAAGTTTGTCAGATTGTAATATTACAAGTGCCATAAAGTTTACTTTAACACCATTGCCACTGTGCTCACTTAGACTAAGCAAGCAAGACTGCTTTTGTTAATGTGCTGTCAAGTCCTCTCCAATGTATGGCAACACTATCAATAAAAGTCCCCCAAAATGTCCTATCCATGACAGCCCTGCTCAGCACTTGAAAATTCTTCTGCTTTCAAGTTTCCCTAGCATGATTGTTTTGTCCAGTGAGTCTTGCCTTCTCATGAAGTACCCAAAGTATGACAGCTTTATCACTTCTAGGGAAAGTTCTGACTTGCTTGATCTGTGACCCACATGTTCATTTTTCTGTCTCCTCCAGAACATGTTTTGAATGCATCAATGTTATTCCTGCAGACTTTCTTCACTGGCTTTCACATCCATTCACAAGTGATAGGGAATACAATAGTGTGAATGTTCTTGGCCTTGTGTTCCAGTGAAATGAATTTGATGATCTTTTCTAGTTCCTTCATTACTACCCTTCTAAGTCTCAGTCATCTTTGAATTTCTTGGCTGCAGTCTCTCTGCACTGATGACTGAGCTAAGGTATGCAAAACCTTTCACAATTTCAGTGTCTTCTTTGTTAATAGTAAAGTTCTGTAATTCTTCTGTAACCATGATTTTTGTTTTCTTAATCATAAGCTGTGGCCCTGCTTTTGCACTTTCATTTTTAACAGAAATCATTTCAATTCATTGCTGCTTTCTTCCAGTAGTATGGTATCATCTGCATATCTTAAATTAATGACGTTTCCTCCTGTCAATTTTCACTCCTTTCTCTGATTCTAATCCAGTTGTCCTTATATGTTATGCATACAGATTGAAAAGCTAGGAAAATAAAATACAGCCTTGACACTTTTGCCTATGGGAAACCATTCTGTTTCTTTTTATTCTGTCCTAACTGTAGCTTCTTGTTCATCATACAGGTTATGCGTCAGGACAAGCATAACCATTTCTTTCAGGAACCTCTATAACTTCTCCTGATTCACACCAGAGACTTTGCCTTAAGTCCATAATGCATCGACTGATGTTCTTCTGAAATTCTTTGGTGTGCTCCAGTAGCCAACATATATTTGCAATATGATCTTGGCTGCCTCTAACTTTTTGAAATCCAGCTTGAGCGTCAGTTATATCTTGCATTATAATCCCTTTCTGCTCGTCCTACATCTTGCCTTTGTTTTAGAGTCATTCCACTTTTTCTGAGTTCTTTTTTTCCAGAGCAAAACCTTTTGTGTTTGCTTGACTGAAAATGTCCCAATCCAGCCCATTTTAGTTCACTGCCACCATGCTTAGCTGACCCATTTCTTGATTTACAGTTTCCAGTTTGTCTTGATTCATATTTCTCACATTCCATGTTTCAACTATGTGGTGTTCTGCAGCACTGGACTTTCCTTTCTTCTCTGTGCATGTCAGCCACTAGACATCCTTTTCAGCTTCAGTCTAGTTGCCTTGTTAGTGACAGCACTATTAGTACTTGTCCTCTGCTCTTCCCCAGTAACTCACTGAGTACCCTCTTATGAGAAAGGGTCTCATCTTCTTCTATTGTCCTTTGTTTAATGTTGTTTGTTTCATCAAAGGATTTTCAAGGTAAGAAGAATCAGAAGTGGTTTACCATTGGCTCCTTCTTCACAGTACACAGAGTTAGCTTGTCACTGCTGTCATCTGTGAAAGATCCTCTGCCAGTGCTGCTTCCAATTACTGCTGCTGCCTAGTAGCTGCCCTTCAGAAGTTTCTCCACCCCCACCTCTTCTGCTGATGTGACCATTACTCCTGAAAAGTGTGGATGCATCTTAATCTGTTCCCTTTGTTTCAACCATTCTGTCTTGGGTGACTTCACTAGGAGACCAACCTAGTGAGAGACAGTCTGGTCTTCTGACAGCATTGCTTTCGGCTTCTCTGACACTCTCAGACCCCTCCCCATGTTAAGGTGTGCATTCAAGGGGAGGAAGCAAGACTGACCCAGAGCTTTTATACAGTTCAGGGAGTATTCTCTGAAGTAAGAGGCGTCTTCAGTATGGGATGGTATAGAAAAGTTTTAAATAAATAAACAAATAAATATGCTGGCCTACTGCTGAGAAAAAACTTCATTTGCTGGTATGGCCAAAGTTGGGTAGTGGCACTCAAACTCAATACCCACATGTCTCACATTTCCAATTCATGACCCACTATCACAGGCTTGCATGCTGACCCTTCTGCTTGTATTTTTTGGTTCTTCGTGGTAGTCTCTGGGCATCACACATGTGGTCTCTCTGCCTGTGTGGAACCTGTTGTCAGACAAATTCTACATCTGAGAGAGTTTTGATGGGAATCCCTGCCCCACCCCAATGTCAGTATATATAGGAAAACTTCCCATCATTCCTTCAGTTCTTTGATCACCATTGTGGTGCCCTGGGAAGTTCTTTCTTATACCTCTAGCAATTCTTAGAATTTTCTCTATTTCTTCTCACATATTTGGAGGTAATCAGAAATATGATTTGTATGAGCTGCTAGAGTCAGTTTGCCCTCAGCCAGTGTGCTGATTCTCTCATGTTTCATGACAAGTTAGAATAGACTATGCCCTATGCTGAATCAGTGTCTCAGCTTTAATTCAGTTGAAGCCTTTCCACTTCAGCATATGTGGTTCCAATATTTTGCACATGGAAATAACAAGAATATACCTGCCATGTTGGTTTCTGCTTTGTCCCTACTGCTCAAGTAATTAGCGAGTCCAGTAATACCGAAGATATAATTTCCTATTCACTTTCTTACAAAGTTCAGTACTTATGATTCAGTCCTGCATTATAAAGAATAAATATTGCTGTATTTTTGTGTCATCTTGAAGAATGGATTACTTATCCTTTCAGTATACTTCTGCATGTATTGCATAGGTTGACAAGCTTAGAAGTGAAGCTGGGAATCAGTGTGCACAGCAAAAGAAAAGACTGAAGGACAGGGTGGCAGATGCAAAACGGATTCAAGACCTTGAGCGGCAGGCATGTACTACAATTTTCTTTCTTTCTGCAATAAAGTCCAAGAAACCCTCATAGCTGTGGCTCTGCTATGGACTTATTCTGGGCTGGAGTGAGGTGGAAGGACGGATGAGTGATGCTGTTGTTGGGTGGAATAAGGGCAAATAATCAACATTCCAAAGTACCCATCAGTTGCATCTAATGTTAGTCTAAATTAAGTCCAGTTTGATGGATGTTGTGTAATTAGGATTGGATGTACCTTCATGTATTTTAAAAAATAATTCCTGCTGTACCTTCAGATATATGAGAAATATTTGGGTGTTGAAGAAGCAGCTACAGTCCAAACTTCAAATATTGTCAATAAATATGGCTGATGGACATCAGAGCATAATCTGTTCTTTGTGAATCAGTCACACAGAGAGAGTATAATTTATCTATGTGTTTGAACACTTATTTTTCTTTAGTCTGTTCATTGTATGTGTGTATGTATATTTGGCATGTGCACACACACATGTGTACACACTAAAGAATTTACTTACTCCAGACCCCTAAGTGGAGTTTGGGCATTTGTTCCAGAACACAGGGAGATACCTTATAGCAGATCAGATTAGTTGTCTATCATGACTAGCGTATAGAGCAGGGGTCTTTCCCATCACCTGCTTCCTAACGTGTTTCAGCCAGAAGTGCCAGGAATTGAAACTAGGAACATCTGTAGGTAAAGCTTCTGCTTTAAACTGAGCATGTTCATTTCCTTTGATCTCAATCCATTACATTGTATTCCTCATACTACCTACAAAGCCATTTTTATACCTGAGGAGAATTGTAATAACATTCTGGGTCTGTTATTCAAAGAGAACAAACAAATGAAAATGAGAAAGTTTTAATTTACTGTTTGGATCCCAGTCATATCTGATTGATAATTATGCTTTAACATTTTAAATGTTCTTTCTAACACATTTATAATGCAATTCTGTTCAAGTCTTGACTGAGAGCCCCATTAAGTGTGTGTATGTAGTCTTACAGCTAGAGTCTGAATTACTAGTAGAAGTATTCTTTGTCATTAAAAATGTACAATTTATTTAATTTTGACTTATTCTAAAGCTTGTTTCCAGAAGTGATACTTACCTTCTTCCCTGCTTTTTAAAAGGTTAAGGAAATGGAAATGATTCTGAAAAGAAGGCACCCAAATTCTTTGCCAGCTTTGATATATGCTGCAGCCACAGCAGCTTCTGAAGGAGATGGTGATGCTTCAGCCAGAACCAACACAGTTGATTTCCTTGAAAGAAGAGTGAAAAAGTTAGAAGGAGAACTTGAGGGTAAAGATGATGAAGCTAAAAAAAGTCTTCGTGCTATGGAACAGCAGTTTCAAAAAATAAAGGTGATGTAGACTCTACTATGCTTTTATGCAACTGAATTCATGTTTTCCCCCAAGAATCCCTTGAACTATTTATAGACACTTCAGAGTAGTGACTGAATCCTACAATAGGAAGCAAAGATGGGAGATACCATTGAACTAAATAATATCTACCTTTAAATATTTGGTTTAAATTATTGATACTGTAGTAACAAAATTTTAGCACCTTTCTATTATAGACAAGTGCCCTGATCTAGCAACAGTCATGGATGAGAGTCACCCTAACTGCGGGCTCTGATGCAGATTCAGTTCTATATATATGTCAAAGTGTACATCCAGAGAATTCATGAGGGTTCACATGATATGCACTGAGATGCACATGAGCCATCCATGTGGAAAACTCTAAATGTACAGATTCATGCTGGATTAGTGTGCAGCTTTTTCAGGGTCTTGCTACAACTCTTACACAATAAAAGTGTGAATATGTGCACAGCATTGTATATAGATCCGTCAGGTATACAAACAACAACTTTGCTATTGAAAGATGAGTTTAGCAATGCATAGCAACCTACTTGCACAAATAACTTTTATACAATCAATGTACTTGCATGAGCAGCATTCCATCGTAGCCTTGAACTCCTAGGAGATCATGGCTCCATTTTGTGAAAAGATGCATCACAATGGCAATAGTGATTTTCAAAGAAGTGACACCATTGATCTCCTAGGAGTTTGCAGTTCTTACTTTAACACTGCTCAGGCAATCAGGTATGCTGATTTTAAGGGGGGTGTTTTGGGCTTTTTTGTGTTTGTTTTAAAATCACTTTTTTCTCTCAAAATGAAAAGAGAGTGAGAAAAAGTACAATACACCACCTGCCAGACAGGCTTCTATATCTGCCCTTGTGTTTCCTGTGGGAGCATTTTTTGGTGATACCATCCACACTCAGTGAAAAAAGTGAAATGCTTTGCTTTCAATTTGCTTGAGATACTGAGAAGATGCAAAACAAGTGCAACTGATAACCACCTAGCACAAGCATTTGAAATAATTTTGAACTGAAAATATTTATGCCAGTCCCCCCACCATCCACAACTTGTTTTAATTATTCCTTCTCTTTTATCATTATAGAGTTTTCTTGGAAACCCTCCTTACATCTTTTGCTGCTTTTCATTTATTATTTCATTTGTTTTAATTGATTGAATAAAGTATGCTTGGTTTAACTGTCATGCCCAACTTGTTTTGTTTCTTCTTGTGTTTATAATTTGATATATCTCTTGAATATTATGGCAACAAGACAGCTTTGAAAGAGCATTCTTGTTATTGCCAATTTTAGTCCTGAACTACCTTTCAGGTTTTGCAGTGCAGGAGAAAACACTCTTATTGTGATTCTTGGAGTGTAATCTTATGTCCCAGGAGATTTGGATATATCAAACATTCTTGTAAGCAGAAAAGGATGTCCAGTCTTCAAGGTCCAATCTAGGCAGCAGTGGAGCTTTCTGTCCCCTTAGCTGCATTGACAGCAGTGGGCCCAAAAATGGGAAAGTTCAAGAAAATATTGGGATGTCTGAGGATCCACAGAAACTTAGACTCCCTTGTTCTCCCTCATTCCCCTAAAAAGAGTTTGAAATAACCACCCTGAGAATTGGCATAGTAAACCCGTCCCATTGGAAGCAAATGGAGGAAAGGAAAGGGAAAAATGCCCCCTTCCCTCACCTACAAATTCCTGTTCTGGGCCGCACAAGCTAATGGAGTTTAGGAGATGATGGTGTCTCTGGTACAGGAGTACCACCACTACTGGTAGAATTACTCCATTCAAAATTCTTCAGTCCAAACTTCAGGGGAAAAAATGAAGAAAAACAGGAGAAAGATACAACATGTTCTTTGAAAAGGCTTCTGCAATAATGTGGTTTATTAAATACACTGAAAGTTGTTTACACTGTTACTGTTTCATTTGTTGCTTTTCTTATATCCAATCTTATAGTAAGTAATCAGATAAGCTAACAAAATAACCAATAAGTAACCAGAACAGTTAACAAAAGAGTGGAGGGAACAATAATTCAATAGAGAATAAAGACACAATATGAAAAACTGCAAAATCAAAAGCAATCATGAAAAGCATCTATTTCGTTTAAATATTACAAGATGTGAATCAAATGAAGTTTACCAACAGTGTTTCATTTCTTGTAATCTGTTTTTGCAGCTTCAGTATGAGAAAAGGATTGGGGAACTTGAACAGCTACTGGCCTATAAGCTGCTGAATGAACCACAGAAGCCTCAAGATGAGACAACCCATCTTGCAGCACTTGAGCAAGAATTCTGCAATGTAAACAAAGCCCATGAAGTTGTCATAAAAAACCTTCAAGCAGAAATTGCTTCCCTTAGAAATCAGATAACTCAGCTAGAAATTCAGAGGAAGGCAACAGATGAGGCAGACCTACAGTCACTAGAATACCAGGTGGAACAGACTCACGCTAAAGCAAAGTTGGTTAGACTGAATCAGGAATTGATTGCCAAAAACAGAGAAATACAAGACCTCACAAAAACTGTAGAAAGGCTTCAGAAAGAGAGGCGGATTATGCTGTCTGCAAAAGAGTCATCTGGCAAAACTGCCAATAAAGAAACATCTTCAGGAATCTTGAAAAAAGATATTGTCAGCTCTAATCCAAGGAATCCCAGAAATGAAGAGCTCTTTCCTGAGATGATTAATGATAAAAAATACCAGCCCAAAATCTTTGCTGATTCTCATATTTCAGAAGTCCTGCAAGAAAATACCCAGCTGAAAGATGAATTAGAAAAGTTGACTCTTGAACTAAGCCAGCAAAGGATAAAAGCTCAAGCGGCCCTAGCAAATTCTGAAAAACTTGTGAAAAGGTAATCTGTTTATTGTCAAACCACTTTTAAAATCCTATGGCCAAGGATTGTTGTTTGGCTTAGGGAACCAGTGAGGGGCAAACAAATATGTGTTCTGAAGTAGGGGCGTGTGAGGAATCTGTTTCGAGGGTAGGAATTCGTTGGATTCCCTGGGCTTGGCTCCCTGGACTCCAGTCTGCTTTGTCATAGCCATGTGCCTGAGTACCTAGTGAGCACAACCGGTGTTTACATGGTGCTTGCCAGGAATTGTTTCCCCATGATCACTGCTCAAGCATCTTCTTTTGTTTGTGCTGCACTTGATGCAGAGGATGGTCGCCAGTTGTACAACCTTTGTTCCATGGGTGTCTGTAGATTGTTCAGCTCACTTTCTAAAGCAGGGCTGAGTACAAGAGGAAGCCTATAGGCACTAGGGGGACAGATTCCCTGGCACTTCATCACAACCCTAATCTAAAGCTTCATAGATTCTGTGACGTGCACACAGAGTCTCCTAGTAACAAGGTCTTCTTTATTTAGAACTTGGTTGGGACTAGATCCATATATAAGTGTCACGGACAACTTGATGCAACTCAACTTTAAACTTGTTTTGCCTTTCAAGCAAAGATTCTGTTGGCACCAAATGGGGTCTTTGCCTGTTAATTGGATCTGCATAATTAAGTTTGCTTTAATTTGTCCTTGGTGTTGATATAAGTATAGAAACCTGCTTTTAACCCATAGGTCATGCTTACAAATTTAATTTGTATTAACAGCTTGAAGCAAAAACCTGTTGTTCCAGTGCACTTAGAAAGAAATTGATTCACATACAAGCTCTACATTTCAGCTGCAGCCACATTTTCAGTTATGCTGAAATACAAAACAAGTACATATATGTCAATATTGGTGAAGGTAATCACTCCATTACCTGGCTATTTCATAGTCCCTTTGAGTGACATACTCAGTTATATTTGGATTTTGTGATTTTGTTTTCCTTGCTGGCAAACAGCAGTTGAGGGGTGGGGGTAGATTTTGATGGAATAACAGTCCCCTAGTGTTAAACATCTTCTTTCTCTTCCCCCAGTCCAACCACACCCTGCCCCCATAAACTGGTAGCTGCTTGCAGGTGCATTACACTTCCCTCCTCAAATGACAAATCAGTCACTGTTAACCCATACTATGTGTAGTGGCGACCTAAGATTCCCATTCTTCAGTGCCACTCATAAACCATTGGTTCTTCCATGATTAATAAAAGCAGAATGCTTTATGGAAAATGATGAACTTTTGTTTAATTTGCACAATTTCACTCTCACAACTGGCAGAGTTCAGTTTTTCTTGGCTCAGAGTTTGTGAAGGGTTCTTAGAGCAGAGGACCTACAGCCTTGACTCTGAGTAAGCACAAAACCACATGTTGCAGTAAATGCTTTATTCCACTGAAAGCATGTGTGTTATGTTTTCTTTTTAAGTGGTAGCTATGGTGTGCATTGGGGGCAGAGGAGAAGAATTGGTGCATGGAGAAGGTTTTAACCCTTCCTTCACCATGGTCTCAACATGCATATATTATTTGCATGGGAGGGAAACACTATTGGCAAATAACAGCTTTGAAATGCCAGTCTACTCACAAGGTGGGGGGAAAGATTGAAACCTGTTTCCAGTGAGCCAGAGTCCAAACCCTGATTTGACTCCTGCATGGCATTTTCACAAGAAAAACATGAAAAACCCACTGATACATTAAATTAAATCATTCATGTAATGTAATTTGGAGTTTGCCCTCAAAGTAACTGTTCTCATCGATGTTCAAGAGTCAAATTAAATGTGACATTTGCACATCTTTGGCTTCATTAATGTGGGGGAAAGTGGGAAGATCTCAGCTTGGTCATGGGAACAGAAAGGCTTTGAGAAATTACTCTTGCTGCAGCCCTCCAATTGGTGCCATTTCCTTCAAAAATTAATAGATGCAATGTGCCAATTTGAATCAAGATGTTAACAGAAATGAAGACATGCACATACCTACTGTTCTTCGTCGTGGCCTCTGTGCATCACACATATGGGTGCTGCGCCTGCGCAGTGCCTTTGGCCGGAAGATTACAAGCTAACTGTTTATTTTGGCAGGAAAAAGCTCCCCTCCCCCTCCCCCACAGCCTATAAAGAGCGGAGCGTCCACCATTTTGTTCAGTCTTTGCAACCGCCGTTCGCTGTGCCTCGTGCCGCTTTCGACTATTGTTACTCATAGCCTGTTTTTTCTCCTTTTACTCCCAGTTTTATCGTTACTCATAGCCTGTTTTTTCTCCTTTTACTCCCAGTTTTATATCCCTGAGCTAAGTTCTTGTTAGCTCTAATTATTTCTACAGTTCTTCCTAGCTCTAGTTATTCTGCAGTTCTATCGTTCTACTGTTCTTCTTCTAAAAATATATTCCTACCCTCTGCACTGTCTCCCTTTTTCTTCTTCTTCTTGCAATGGCGCAGCGAGCGGCCTTCCGCAAATGTGCGGAGTGCGGGTCGAAGATGTCACCATCTGACCTGCACGACCTATGCCTCCACTGCTTGGGGGAGGGGCATAGGACTGACAGGTGCTCCCACTGTCTGGCCTCTCCGCCTCCGGAGGCTCCTGTGGGATCGGGCTCTTATGCAGTCTGACCCACTGGTCACCGCTACGAAGCCTGGCCCGGCTGCGGTGGTCCCGCCCTCCCACCCATCGGACGAAGGTGCCTCTACTTTGAGGGCCCCACCAGCTTCTCCCAAAAAGAAAAGCGAGAAGCGCAAGCACGCCGATGCCGACAAATCGGCCAAAAAGGCCAGGAAAGAGAAGCCCTCTAAGCTGGCCGGAAAGGTGAAGGATCCGGACCCACCCCGACACCGTATCTCAGGTTCGACGGCAGCGTCGGTACCGGCGCCAACCACCGTACCGACCCCACCCGAGCCGGCGCTCCAGGCAGCCATGAGAGTTACCCCTCAAGGGTCTCCCCGTCATGTGGCTGACCCCCCGACCGAACTGCTTCCATCTCTCCAGCAGGGCTCGATCTCTGACGGAGAGATTCAGGACTCTCCCCCCAGGGCTAGGTCACCAATGCCTATGCCCATGGCCACACTGGAGGTGGATGTCATCGAATCCCCGCCCAGGGCCCACCAGAGCCGCTCCAGGGAGCAGCGATCTGAGCAGCGATCCAAGCAATTTGAGGACTGGCGTCGCTCCAACTACCCATCTTGGGGCGAGCCATACTCGACTGGGTACTATCCTGCGCCGAGGGATTGGTCCCCACCACGCTCTCGTGATCGCCCGCTGCCTCTGGATCCAAGGTGCACATCCCCGGTACCCTGGGATGAAAGCAGCTGGTCCGCTTCGCCAGTGCAGTCTTCTTCTTCGGCCCCTCTGTACTATGGCGCAGACTCCAATGACTTGGATGTCAATTCTACCTCTCCCGATGTCGCGGTGACCTCCCAGGGCCCCGCATCACCGGACGAGTCGCACGTTTCTTTTGCGGAGCTGATGTCCAGGCTCATCCAATCCCTGGACATCGACACCGTCCAGCGGCCAGGACCGTCTACAGATAAAATCTATGACGTCATCCGCGGGGAGCAGTCCACCTCCATCGCCCTGGCCTTGATCACCACCCTACAGCAGGCGATGACCAGCCCTGGAACTTGCCCTCTCACCCTCAACCAACATCGCGGAGGTACGAAGCCATGTACTGGGTTCAGGAGGAGGACATACCATTCCTCCTCCAACACGCCAAGCCGAACTCGGTCGTGGTGGAGTCCTCCCAGGGAAGAGAGGCAAGGGGTCACACCACGCCGTGAGATAAGGAGGGCCGCAAGATCGACTCCCTGGCCAGGAGGGTCTATGCAGCTTCAGGCTTGGGGCTGTGTATCTCAAACTACGAGGCGACGTTGGCGGGATACCAGTATTTTATAATGCAATGCCTCCACAACGTCATCTCGGCCCTCCCAGACCAACAAGGCAAATTGGCCAAAGTCTTGATTAAGGAGGTGATGCACGTCACGGTGCAACAGTTGTCCACAGCCAGGCACCATGTGGACACTAACTCGAGGGCATTGGTCGGTGCCATTTCTCTTCGCAGGCATGCGTGGCTGAGGAGCGCCAACTTCCCCGAAGAGACTAAGTGGCGCATCAAGGAAATGCCCTTCGACGGGTCCGGGCTTTTCCATTCAAAGATGGACCATAACCTTAAAAAACTTCATGAGTCCCGCATGACGGCCCGACGAATGGAGCTCTAGTCGCTTCCGAGGCCTAAGTGGCCATGGAACCGTCCGCCCTACAGACAGCTGTATCACCCCAAGCAACGGCCTCAGCACAGGCAACAGCAGCAGCGCCATTGACAACAGCCCCAGCAACGCTACCAGCAGGGCCATCGCCGATATGATGACAGGAGGCAGCATTGACGGGACTGGCGAACCATTCCTCTACCCTATCCTATACCCACCCCCCTCTCATCTGGGGACCGGCTGCAAAGCCGACTCCCCATTTGGGAGTCCATCACATCTGATGGATGGGTATTATCTATCATACAGCACGGCTATAGGATAGAATTTGACACCGTTCCTCCATCGAGTCCGATTCGGTTTACATCTTGCACACCAGTACTGCTCGATGAAATACAACAACTTCTTTGTAAAGGAGCGATTCGTCAAGTAACTCAACATGACGGGCATCATGGATTCTATTCTAGATACTTTACCATTCCCAAACGGGACGGTGGCTTACGTCCGATTTTGGACTTACATGGTCTGAATCAGTTCATCGTGACGAAGTTTTGAATGACCACCCTCCAAAATATTTTGCCGCTGCTTAGGAAAGAGGACTGGTTCGCCTCATTGGACTTGAGGGACGCCTATTTTCATATTGCAATCCATCCCAAATATAGACGTTTCCTTTGTTTTGCTGTTGCCCCCAATTCCTACAAATTCATGGTTCTACCTTTCGGTTTGGCTACCGCTCCGAGGGTGTTTACTAAATGCATGGCCCCTGTCTGTGCTTATCTACGCCTCCAGGGCATACAAGTTTATCCTTACCTCAACGATTGGCTCCTAGTCTCCAGGTCCAGGGAAGCGCTCCTATCCGTATTACCTGCGCCTTATTGGATGACCTGGGCCTTTGCATTAATACTGAGAAATCTTCTCTCCTTCTGGTACAGAAGCTTACGTTCATCAGAGTCCACTTGGATTCGACGTTGGAAAAGGCATTCCTCCCTCGGGACAGACAACTGACTCTCGCTTGCCATGTTCATCGAATGTGACGAGACAGATTGGTTCTGGCGAAGTCCATCCAGAGACTTCTAGGACATATGGCTTCCGCCGTTGCAGTGGTGCCACACACCAGACTGCGACTCCGTCCGTTGCAGCTGTTTTTCAACAAAGTGTTCACCCACAGAGGGATCCACCGTCAAAACTCCTTCGAGTCCCATCCTCGGTCCTCCATTCGCTAATATGGTGGTCAAACCTGACCAATCTGACTGTTGGGGTCCCCTTCAGGTCCCGAGGCCCATCAATTACAGTCGGTACCGACGCATCTCTTCTAGGTTGGGGAAAGATATGCCGGCCTGTATACTCAAGGCACGTGGACTCGTCAAGGATCCACGAAGCATATCAACTTCCTGGAATTGTTGGCCGTATTTCGAAGATGTTCTTCAACATCGGGTTGTTCAGATAACATCGGACAACATAGCCACCATTTTTTATCTGAACAAGCAAGGCGGGACGAAGTCTCCAACCCTGGCCAGACTTTCTATGCAGATCTGGGACTGGTGCATTTCGAGAGATATTACGATAATAGCAGTCCATCTGGCCGGTACGGACAATGTGGAAGCAGATCTTCTCAGCAGGTGGATGCTCATCTCTCACGAATGGGAACTGGACCCCCCAGACACACGACGACCTTTTCCATTGCTGGGGGTTCCCCAACATGGACTTGTTCGCCACACAACAGAACAAGGTGTGTGCGACTTTCTGCTTGAGAGCGGGAATCGGACACGAATCCCTAGGGGACACCTTCATGATTCCATGGAACAATCTGAATTTCTATGCCTTCCCACCGATTCCGCTGGTGATGAGAGTCATAGCGAAGATCGGGCCACAGGGATACTAATTACTCCTTGGTGGCCACGCCAACCTTGGTTTCCCACACAGCTGGACATTTCTCACGGGGAATACCTACATCTTCCACCGCTCCCATTCTTGATAACCCAGAAGGACAGCGCACTTCGTCACCCAGATATATTATCATTAAAACTAACAGCGTGGCGAATCCGATAGCTGACTTCACTACGTCTCTACCAGTCACTACTCCAAGGGGTTCGAATCCGACCTTTGAATCCACTACTGTCCTCGTTATGTCTACACCGACAACTACTTCAAAAGGTTCGAACTCTACTTTCGAACCCAGTACAGTTGCAACCTCCGAATCCTCTGGGGACGGCACTGCACCAGCACTGTCGGATCTGACTACTGTGCCATCGAATCCAACAGCCTTTCATCCGGACATTCAATACATATTGGACTCCACTTTAAAGCCTTCTAAACGGAGGTCTTACGAAGCTAAATGGAAGCGTTTCTCCGCCTTTGCTGACTCTCGTTCATTCTCTCCATTTACATCGTCAATTCCTCAAATTCTTCAGTTCCTCCTGGAATTACACCACTCTGGAATGAAACCATCTTCGATTAAAGTATATACGGCGGCCATCGCCTATCATCAGGGTATGGTGGACGGTTCGTCCATTTTCTCCCAACCTACTATTAAAAGGTTTTTGAAGGGACTTTTGAAGGGACTGAATCCGTCGATCAGACCAGTAATGCCCACCAGGAGTCTCTCTGTTGTTCTGCAAGCGCTTACAAGAGCTCCTTTCGAACTGTTGGCCACAGTCGATTTACGTCTTGTCTCATGGAAGACAGCATTCCTAGTTGCGGTTACCTCAGCCCAGAGGGCCAGCGAACTCTGCGCTTTGCGCGTAGACCCACCTTATCTCAATTTTCATAGAGAAAAGGTTGTCCTGCGGCTCGATCCATCTTTTCTGCCTAAGGTATCCACACCCTTTCACATGGGGCAAGATATTATTTTACCTGCCTTTTTTCCAGCTCCATCTACTCTGTTAGAAAGGACATTACATTCACTTGACGTTCGACGCTGTTTAGCATTCTACAGATCCAGGACTGAGTCTATCCGACGTTCACATAGACTTTTTATTAAATATGCTACCAGGGGCCAAGGTACCCCTGTCACTCCGCAGAGACTTTCTAAGTGGATAGTTCATACCATCACCCTGTCTTACCAACTGGCCAATATCGACTTGCCCACTACCCCTTGAGGCCATTCGACTAGGACTGTGGCTACCTCATCGGCCTTCGCATCAGGAATACCGATGGACGATGTATGTAGAGCTGCTACTTGGGCGAATCCTTGCACTTTCGCCAAACAGTACCGCTTAGACGTCCGCACTCGACAAGATTGTTCCTTCGGCAGAGCCGTTCTTTCATCTGTTTTTCGTTGAGGTCACCTCTCCTCCTCCGTTATGGTAAGCTTGTTAATCTACCCATATGTGTGATGCACAGAGGCCACGACGAAGAAAAGCAGGTTGCTTACCTGTAACTGATGTTCTTCGAGTGGCCATCTGTGCAGTCACACAACCCACCCGCCAGCCCCGCTCGGTGTCAGTGAGTGGACCTCTGTTGTTATTGAATGTTATCATTGTTTCTTGGTACCAATATTCATTGTTCTCTCGGTACCAATACTGTTCACGGTAGAACTCATTTACAAGTCATTTTTTCCACAAGAGGGCGTCCGTTCGGTCGTCAAAGACTGAACAAAATGGCGGAAACTCCACTCTTTATAGGCTGTGGGGGAGGGGGAGCGGAGCTTTTTCCCACCAAAATAAACCGTTAGCTTGTAATCTTCCGGCCAAAGGCACTGCGCAGGCGCAGCACCCATATGTGTGACTGCACAGATGGCCACTCGAAGAACATCAGTTACAGGTAAGCGACCTGCTTATCTGATTTGTATATAACAAAAATCCAGAAATTTAAAATGGATGGGTAGCCTGAACAAGTTCTTTTGCTGCCTCCCATACACCTGCCGTTTTATTTCTACTGCCCAGCCTAGACCAGTGGGTTGTTTAGCCCCTAAACAACCTATTGTTCCAGGCTCACACGTCGCACTCCACAACCTGTAAGAGCATTAAATATGGGTTGTGTGGTAAAAATGGAGTAGGTGGGCATGCATTAAAGCAATGCATGTCATTATGTGCAAACAAGCCCACAGAGTCTTGATCTGGTTGGTCCCCCTTTCTACCAGCTGTTTATGTTTAGAAAGCAAGCAATATGGCAGTGCTGAGGGTGTGAATAACATTGCATTTAGTTTGGCCTTGAAGTGGACAACTCTTTTACATTCCCATTCTGTGTCCCTCTTTTTTGTAATGGGGCAAAAAAAAATTGTACCCACGAACCATGGGCAGTAAAGGAATTATTTTTCATACTCTTTCAGGAAGGAAGACTTGGAAGAATATGTTGCAGCCCTTAAAGTATCGCATCAAAAAGAGATGGAAGAGGTTCTTGGTCAGCGTGATATGCAACATTCTGTAACAGAATTAAATAACAAAATTTCAACGCAAGCGGTAAGGTTGTTCAACTCACTGCTTCAAAGGACATGAAAGTTTTCCTGGTTTTCAGTATTCTGTACAGTAAGGGCACTATAATGTGCTTATAAAACTGAAAAAAGTCTGCCTGGAGAATGCTGAGGGTTCTATGATTCTTTTTCCATCTAAACAGGCATAGGATTGAACTCAAAACTTGCCTCCCGGAAGTTGCTTGGTGCCAAATCTGGTGTGGGGATCAGTTTTGGAATGGGATGTGGGAGGTTCAGGTTCTAGTCCCCACTCAGCTGTGGAGCTCACTGAATGACTCTGGCCCAGTCACTCCCTTTTCAGCTTAACCTACTGGACAGGGTTGTTATGAGGGGAAGAAGGTGGCTTATAAATGCAGTGTAATCATTGTCTCTGCACACCTGCAATGATTCTGCTATCAGGACACAAGCAGCAGCCATAACCTTCTACTTTTCTGGACACAAAGCTTCTCTTACAGAGCTTCTCTTGCCTTGCAAAGCAAACATTGCTTCATATTTTTTTGACAGTACATCTTAACTGGTACAGAGCCCTTCTTTCTTGCAGTGTAGTCTTCAGTGCCTCCTCTGCTTGAAATAGTCTCCTCCCTAAAATGAAGCAGGCAGTGATGCATAAAAGCTTAACTTCTCACTATGCACCAAAAAGCAGCACCAGCAACCCTGTATGAATACTGTTTTACCTTTAATTTAGAAAGGAGACAAATGAGAAGGTTCCCGATGACAAATTAATTAATAAATTATTAATATGAATAAACTTGAGATAAATATTAGATCTCAGTTTCAAATATTCAAGAATATCTTCCAGAACTATCAGGCAGCATTGTTGAAATAAGGCAAAACAGCTAATTTAATACCATGCATACATGTTTACTTCATGGAGTTTATGATTATAAGATATTGTAATATACAATAAGTGTAGCTTGGCAATCTGCTCAGTGACAGCAGGAGTGCTTGGTTCAGGGGTAGGAAGCTCATGGTGCCTCACTTCTCCTCTCAGTCCTCCAGCCAGTATTCTAGTGGTCTTCATAGCAAAACCCTTCTAGTCTCCCCCGCCCTGACCACAATCCCCCTTTGATTCACCCCCATTTTCATCTTTAAGAATGTGAAAAAAGCACAGTTGGAGTCACTTTTTTTATTTATTTTCCGTTAACAAATGATAAAATAGAGTAGATAACAAATATGGAAATTACCAAGGTGAAATTGCATATTTGAAACATATAGTTGCAGCACACCATTTGTTCACAGTTGTCAGCTCTCAGTTGAAAAATAAAGGGCGGGAGAATGCTTAAAAGTGCACCAAAATGGGGTGCCGACAATATCAATCCCTTAGAATAAAATCTGCTGGCTTTTAACTGTTTTAACTGACAGTGATCGCCACCTTTTCAGCTGTCAGGGATCCACCATAACTGTGGCAGGAAGTGCTCTGAAATGGTAGGGGAGTCAATATCGCCCTTTGCTGCCAGGAGCTTGAAACTCAGGAAAGTGTTAAAATTGAAAGGACAGTGAGAGCTGTCAGTCAAGATTTAAAAGCTAGAGGATTTCATTGCATTATCACCACTCCCTTCTGCTGCACTTCCTTCCATCATTTTTCCTCCATTACTTTTCCTTGGACAACTGTGTACAAATAAGCTTATATGCAGTCTTACCTGGCAATCTGTTACTTACTCCACATCCTTTTGGGAGCTGAAATTTACAAGGCCATTGACAAAGTGAGACTACATGCATTGGGAAGCCATAAGTGCACAATTGCACACTGGGAAAACAGCAACAACAGTTTAAAAACACAGTTGCACAATTTTCAGTGGCCATTTTCTTTAAAGTATTGAACGAGTAACAGTTACCGCAAGAGCAAGATTGTGGAGTGGTGAGGGTTTTGCCATTCTTGCTGAGTAGCTCAATAGCTAATTCCCACAACTGTCAAAATTGCTCTGCTGTTTTGAATGACACAACAGCTCATTGTGGGTTGAACAATATCTAGAACAAGCCATGAATTCTCACTGTGGCTTGTTGCCCCAGAATGGAACACCCTGTAGGAAGCAGTCCAAATTCAGAAGATGCAACAACCTACCATGGCTAGCTACCCTTGATGGGTTCTGGTGCTGTGCAGGCCCTGTCATTGTGAAAGATAAGGTGCTCTCTAGAATTATGAGGAATGGCAGACCAAAAGTTGATCTAAATGTGTCAGCTGGGTATGCTATATAGCTGTAGCTATAATTTGTAGGCTTTTAACTGGAGCAGCCCTCAAGCGCTATATGTTTACTCTTATATAAATCCCTCTGATCTTAATGCAGCCCTAATCAACAGTAGTTCCAGTTGTTAAAGCAAATCTTGCTTATAGCAAGATTATATAAATATTTTGTTTAAAATGCCATTTAATAATTCAGGATGTTTAAATCTTCTATAGATATTTATTAAACATCTTCAACAACAAGTTTGTGAGTTGCAGAGAGATCGAGAAGCCCTTGCAGTTTCACAGAAGAGAGAGGAAATCCTTCAAAAAGAGGTAAATAAAAAGTCAAGTCAGAGTTTTTAAAAACATTATCCTAGTTTTAGTCTGGAAACCTACTGTTAGTTAATAAAAACATGCCTCTTCCCTTCATCTCCTTGCATGCCAGTTTTGGCACCTGTATGGTAGTGAATTTAATTTCCAGTTAGCAAATCCTCACTCAAGAAGATATATCAGTGCATCTCACCCAATATCATCTCCCTGTGTTCTGGGGTGTCTGTAAGGAGCAAAAACCCCTGTGCATGGCTGTCCTGCTGTTGTGTCCTGGCATAGCTGTACACTGAGCTAGCATGTCAGGTCACCTTTGCTAAGCTGAAAAGGCACAGCCAGATGGGTAACCACATGTGAAAGCCAAGCAGGGGTTGGACTCAATGGCCTTATAGGCCCCTTCCAGCTCTTCTACTGTTCTCTGCTCTTGAAATACTTTTGGAGGCAGTCCAGCTACTCATTGAATTAAGACTCCTGATTGAACTTCTGTCTTGAAGAACTCCCAGATGGAAACAAGGGAGGCAACATGGGATAGTTCTTAGATGTTTGGAAGGTGGTTCTTGCAGAACAATGGCCATTTGCAGTAGTGTTACCAAACCAAATCTGCATTTTAGAAACTTAGCACCCTGTTATTGTCAAGGATTTTCTGGGGAATGTTCACTGGATGTTCCCTCTTCCTTCTGGAGAGACTGCAATATTTGGGAAAAATGTTAATGTCAGTTAATATATACCTGTAAAAATATATTGACAGACAGCATCTATGCAACCCCTTGATCTAGTTTGTGAATAGAGTTCGTTACAGTAACTTCACTGTTGTTATATCTGTTGCACAGTAGATCATGTATTTTTTTAACAGTTATCATTTCCCAATCGCGCATTTTAGATGGCAAAGCTATTAGAAGAACTTGGAGAGGCTAGAGAAAGCCAGAGCCCAGAGATGAAACACTTTGTGTGTCTAGAAAGGAAGATCAAACAGCTGGAAGCCAGATATGAACAAAGAGAGCAGGAACTTCAGCAGGTAAATAAAATAGAGCCATTGCCTGAAAAAGCTGATTTTTCATGCTCATAGTGGCTTTTCCCAGCCTGGCTGCTATAGCAACCATTCTGTGACATAATGCTCATCCTTTGCCTTCAGAACGCAGTTGTGCCACCTTTACTGCTTACCACCAGCTGTCATTCAGTTCGCACACAGGTCTAGTTGAATTAATTGAATGAATTATTGCAAGCGTTCTATTGGAGATTTTTCCCCCTTTCCAAGGGTTAACAGGTTCTTGTCACTGCTTAGTTGTTGTGATTTAGGGCTTGTTATTTGGTCTTGGGAAAAATAAAGGCCACAGAGCATATTTGCAGCCTGGGAGTGCTCCTTGAGCCTGACTTGTCCCTGAAGCATCAGGTACTGGCAGTGGCCAGGAGCACTTTCCTTCAGCTTCGGCTGATACCTCAGCTGCGTTCCTACCTGGATGGGCAGTGCCTGGCAACAGTGACCCATGCTCTGGTAACCTCCCATTTGGACCACTGCAATGTGCTCTTCGTGGGGCTACCTTTGAAGAAGGTCCAGATACTTCCATTGGTCCAGAATAGAGCTGCCAGGTTATTAACAGGGAGTGGCAGATACTCCCATATCACGCTGGTCCTATATTGTTTACACTGGCTGCCACTTGAAGTTCGGGCTCAATATCAAATGTTGGTAATAACCTAAAAGGCCCTAAACAGCTTGGGTCATTCATGGGGGTGGGGGGGGGGGGCATCAGTACTGCTTCTTAGACTTCATACATTTCAGTAAAGATGGTTTCCCACATTTCCAGTATTGGTTGACTATAAATAGTAATATTGAATGGTATTTGTAGAATCTTTCCCTTCCCCCAAGAATTTTTAAAACAAACACAAAAACTGATTGTGTCCATTTTCTGATACTGACACATTTAGGATTGAAATCATGTGCTCTGGTATCAATAAAATCAGCATAGTCTCTTGCCACACAGGTGATAAAGGAAACACAGCATATTGCAGAAGTGGAACAAATCCAGGAAACTGAGAAATGGAAGAAGCTTGTACTGCTCAAGAATCAAGAGCTGGAGAAATTTCGCATTGAACTAGATTCAATGTTAGATGTTCTACAGCAACTGCAGAAGCAGGGTGTTATCATTCCAGTAAGTGGCTCAAACATGCCTGAAAATTACTGGAAGATTTAAATACAAAGAAGCTATTGGAGAAAGGAAGTCTGAAATAAAAATAGCTGAAAGCATTCCATACAGGTCACCAGTTTAATTTTAAGACTGTGTCCAAATTTCATCTGTATATGTTTATTTTTATTGTATATATTAAATGCTGAATGCAAATTTGGAATGTCAGACTTGTTATTTTTCCTTCACAAATCCAGGCACCAAAGAAATAATGCATACTTTATTAGATCAACTTTCATGAGATCTGTTGTCTAGCTATATTGACTAGCCAACTTCTGTCTTTATTCCCTTCCCTGAACATGTATGCGTAAGGAGCTTTTCCCATTGTGTTAATGAAACCTCAAATAAATCTCAGTCAGGTATGAATTTTTTTCCTATAAAGTAAAGCAACAGCACTTGGACCTCTATGCTAATAATGTCATATTGGATTCCTTTCTCCTGAAATGATGCCAAATGTCAGAAGTCAAAGCTGTGTTGGTTTGGCGTAGTCTATTTTAGATCTGAACTACAAAGTAAGCAAGTGAATGTCAGTAAACACCCTTCTCGGATGACTTGTGTGATGCAAAACTACTAAAATCAAGCATTTAAATAGATGCCTCTTATTAGAGCTCAACACAATGGTCAGAGTCCAGTACTTATTACATGGAGTTGCAATGTATGGCTGTGAAAATTGGACCATAAGGAAGGCTGAGCGCCGAAGAACTGAGGCCTTTGAATTACGGTGCTGGAGGAGACTCCTGCGAGTCCCCTGGACCGCAAGGCGATCAAACCGGTCAGTCCCAGAGGAGATCAACCCTGACTGCTCTTTAGAAGGCCAGATACTGAAGATGAAACTCAAATACTTTGGCCACCTAATGAGAAGGAAGGACTCCCCGGAGACGAGCCTAATGCTGGGAACAATAGATGACAAAAGAAGAAGGGGACGGCAGAGAATGAGGTGGCTGGATGGAGTCACTGAAGCAGTTGGCGTGAGCTTGAGTGGACTCCGGGGGATGGTGGAGGACAGGAAGGCCTGGAGGAATGTTGTCCATGGGGTCACAATGGGTCGGACACAACTTCGGAACTAACAACAACAACAAAGCCTCACTGAACTTAATGGAACTCATCTATGAGCCGAAAAATAGAGACTGCACAGCAAAACTTCTAGTCAGTGGATTTTGTCTGCAATCCTGTACCCACTTACCTGGGAATAGCACCATATCAGTGCAGCAGGATTTACATCTGAATAAACAAGTACAGGATTGTATAGTTAAAGACATACAATGTTGTGCTTGATTCTTATTAATAGTTAATATAAAATAATTTATGAAAAAATGTACCATATACAGCACATCTTTAAGAACTGAAATATTTGTTATAGTAAAGGCAATGCCCCATATAATGCTATATTTATTAGCTAGTAAAGTAAAATTATTTCTAATTCCCTGTATAATTGTCTTTATAGCAAAAAAGAAAGAAAAAGAAAAAAAATTTTTTATTGGTTATTTTCTAATTTGATTAGTGCATCATCTTTTGCTGACCTGCTATATCATTTTTCTAGTGCCAGGACTGTCAGTCTTGGTAGCACATTTGCTCATACCTGTTTTGTTTAGCTCCCAAAATAAGCTTCTTAATTTTGTCCTGATCACCTCTCATTTCACATGATATGACATGGTTTACCCTTTATATGTTATTCTCTAAAAGCTTTACTCTCACCAGAATGTCCTGTTTCCCTTGTTTCTCTGCTAGTCTTGAAAAGGTCTCTCAGGAAACATTCATGCAAAGTTCTTCTATTTTGCATTTATCTTTATAGGATTAGTCTTAAACATGCAATAAAGCTGTCCTTTTAAAAACAGAGCACATCAACTCCATAGCTGCTGTTTCTCAGCTATGTTTCCACCCTTTTAAGAAGATTAAGAAAGAGAGGTCGTGCTACTTTGTTTTTGCTGAGTAGATCTAGTCACACAGTGGATTTCTGCAGATTATGACTGATACAACTTCCACAAGATCTTAAATCGAGCAAGGCCAGATAAATATCTGGAAGATACATGTCAATGACTGGGTTTTCTTAAATCAACAGCCTATTATGAGTAACTAGAAAAGTTGTGTTGTCATTTTGTCTGACTCTAAACCACCTCGCTCAGGATAGTTTGGGTTGTTTTTTATGAACGAGCCACTTTGAGAATTCATGGCTTGTGATAGGGATTGTTCAACCTATGCTTGGTTGCCCTATCATCCAAAGCAATTTCAGTGGGGTTGCAAGAACTGACTAGGAAGCTGCTTGGCAAAAGCAAGGAAAAAACCGCTCTTTGCAAGCTCACCCACACTGCCACTGATGAACAAGAAACTCTTCGCTAATAACCATTACTGTCCCACGTCTTTTTAAAAAAATATTTTTGGTCTGAGAAATCTGCACAAATGTCTTCATATTTTTTAAAATAAAATAACAATATTTCATGGTTGCACAAGTGCACTGTTAAAGTTCTTGGAAAAATATATAGTCTTGCCTGGTCAATGCTTTTTTTCAGTTTCAGTTTTTAAATAGCAGCAGATTGATGAGGTGAGATGATATAGACTAAATTGTGAACAGTTGACAACTGTCAAACTAGAAAGCAGAACTGGTGCACCAAAAGATTGTGAGCTTAAGATTTTCCCCTTAGCAATGTAATCCTATCGATTTCTAGTGTTGACCTGACCTTTTTCTGACACTTCCCCAAGTCTGCAGATGGTCCAGAAAGAAAGATCTTAAGGCCTTTTCACAGATCCTTCTTAAAGTTGTTATTGAACCTTGACAACTGCCCCCCACTGGAAAAAAAAAACCCTGAGAAGGCAGCTGTAGGGGTATCTCATTTGCTCTATCCCATTCTTCTACCTCTAATGGTGTTTTTAAAAGTTCTCAGAGCAATTTCCACTTTTATGTTGACAAGGAAATTTATCCAGATTTCAAATCTGGGAAGTATATAACACAAATTTCCTCACCATTTATTTCTCAGCCATTGGGGGAAAATAGATGATCTTAACTGTGTTTCTTTTTAAGCTCTAGGAAAAAAATTACTATGAACTTAAAGGTATTGTGATTGGAGCAAGAACTGGGGAGACAAGGCAGGTTCTGGAGAACCAAGGGACAAGGAGGAATAGAACAACCCACAGTGAAGCCAGTCACTTGTTTGATCACAGGGCAGGTGCTGAATCATATTAAATTGCCCAGTAGCTATTAACCAACAAGAAGAATCCATGTAACTGTGTTTATTGGAGGCATTCAATCAGGAATGGAGGAAGCATAGGTTTTCTTCGTGGTCTCTGTGCATCATACATATGGGCTCTGTGCCTGTGGGGAGGCTGTTAGCAGGAAGATTTACCAGCTAAGATAAACCAGTCCAAAACAAGGATCATATGCCGAGCCCTGGTGATGAAAATCAAATGGGTTGAAGAACTCTTGGTAAGACACCAAGAGTGGTGCAGACACTCTGTCCCGATCTGAGATGGGGAGCAAGAGTGGTCCATCGTCCGTTTTCTCCACTTGATAAGAGCGCTGGTGGAGTGGCAGAGTGGGTTGTGCTCAGATTGTCCAGGAGAGGACAGGGTGGTGTGAGCCAGATCTCTCCCTCCAACAATGAAGCCAAGTCTGGTTCCAGCATCAGGACTGGCTCTAGATCAGGGGTTGGGACCCAGCAACAGTCAGTTTGCTACTGCTTCTTCTTCGCAGAAAAATGTTTAGAAAAGGCATATTTTTAAGAGAAAAGAAATGCTCAAGTACCTCACTAAAGGAGGGAATTTCCTGAGGCACCAAAGGCAGTTGAAGAACTGAGGGAAAGGACAGGCACTCCTCCCTCTTATAATGGATGCTGGAAGGCGGGGGGGGGGGGGGGTCCAAGCCAAAATGTTCTTAACTAGCAAATTGCCTGGAAACTGGTTCCATGTGATATACAAATGGCCCACAGGTGTGATCAACAACTGCTGGAGGTAAGCAACCTGCCTTTTGCTAGTGGGGTGTAGTGGTTAAGAGCAGGGGTCTGAAACTCAACTTACCTGGGGGCCACTGGAAGTAGAGTCTGGGTGAGGCTGGGCCGCATCCAGTATTTCACAACCGCGGTGGTGGTGGGCCGCTCATCCGGAGGCCGGCCCGGGCGCTGCCAGCACTTTGAAGGCCGCAGGGCCCCTTCCCCGGGCCCTGCCTGTCCCAGCAATTGGCCTGTGGGCCGCGAGTTTGAGACCCCTGATTAAGAGTGAGACTGGGAGCCAAGCGGACTGAGTTCTTGTCCCTGCTCAGCCATGGAACCAACTGGGTGACTTTGGGCCAGTCACAGACTCTCAGCCCAACCTACCTCACAGGGTTGTTCTTATTGGGATAAGATTGAGCAGGAGGAGAAGAAATATGCAAGTTGCTTTGACTTCACTGGAAAAAGCAGGATATAAATCTAATAAATATGGTGGCATTCCCTTTTGCATCCTATTCCTAGTTTTATGCTTTCTTAATTAACAGTGAAAAACTAACACAACATCTTCTGTGTGTTTTTAATTGGCACAATTAAATTAGGTTAATGTACATTCCTTGTGTGCTGCACAGACTTGCTAAATAGCCACATGTTCACCTGCACTTTGCTATAATAGGGCACCTACAGTAATAACAAAGGCATATATACCAAAAATAAAAATTACAAGAACATACCTAAGAGGTATATCTACAATACTAAAATAACCTATACATAGTCACTATACAATAGGGAAAATCACAGTTGTAGCATTTGCACAGAAGATAAAGTTGAACTTCTTACATAAAATGACAGTAGATTACAGTCTCCTAAAGCTGATGCAGCTTGTCAAAATAAAAGCAGGGAGGCAGTGTTGCTCAGGCAGCTCGGAGGCAACTGTTAACCTAACCATTTAATTACTAACAAAGCCCTTGAAAATGGATGAAATTAAGATTCCAGATGATGTCAATTCTAGTTCTTTGCCACTTTCATCCTGACTGAAAAGGGCTAGCTAAAAGAGAGTTAGTGTGCTAGCATACAACAAAAGTGATAGGAAAATATGTTGTGAAATTGGCAGCACATCCAACCATTGGCACTAGCAGGTACCAAGCAAAAGCAAAGCAATTAACCATTAAGCCAACCTCCAGCGTCAAAGCCAGATAAAATGAGTTGCATGTGAGTTGCTGGGCTTCACCAGTCTAAAAGCAGCCCCTTTTGCCTTAGAAGCTATTTCCAGTCATAGCAGGTTAAGAGGCTCTCCTGTTTTCTAACTCACCCAGCACTGGAATTTCTGAGCTGGAATGCCAGAGGTGTGATGGGTTTGTATCAGTACTAATGACATTTCTTTCATTAAATGAGGGGACCATAGAAATGCCCTGTGCTGCAAATGATAATTGCACTTATCCATACAGGTATGCTATTCTATCATGTAAACTTTTCTGGCATCAACTTGATGTTAATACTGAACACATTTCTCAGCTGGACTGTGGCCCGGTCCTATACAAGAGTTGGGCCATACCTGAGCTTGTTAAAACCAATAGACTTGTGGACTCCTAAATGCACAGAAAGAAAGAATATGCATGGAATATAAAGGCCTTTGTGATGTCACTGACACTGCATCACATTACCTTGCTTGTGGGAGTTACATGAAGTAGTAGAAAGGTGGGGGTCAAGCTAGTGAAGGTCCAACTGCTGCGATCCCTAAAGGCAGTACACATGCGAAAGTCTAAAAAGCCTGTACACACAAAAACACACACACACACACACGTAGCAACAAGCAAAAGAAAGGTGAACATCCAACTTCTACTGCACAATACAAAAACCAATATTTCAGGCTATACATTTGCCATTGTCTATGGTACAGGTGGGCAACTTGTAATGTCCAGATGTTTTAGTCTGCACTTCCATACACTATTAATTGGTATAGATGATGGTGAGGGATCATGAGAATTGTACGCCAAATTATCCAATTTACACCTCTAAACTACATGGTATTAAACCCCAAAACAGTTTCCCTTACTTGCAGATGGTAATCTGTACAAAAGTGTTCCATCATTACTAAAAGCAAGTGCCTGTAAATCTAAAAGACAAAAATAAATACTGATAAGCTCTGGTCTTAACAAATATTTCTCATTTGTTTAGGGACAACTGAAACACTGCCATACTGTGTAGCAAAGCATAGTCAAGCAACTTTAGTCCTTGTACATGTAAATGAAAATTAGGATGGAAGTGAAGGAGAATGTATTCATTTATATTTATCTACTGCCAATAGATGGAGCTCTCTGAGCAATATACAACACTGACATTGTGACATACATGTGTTCTGTTTTAATATAGACCCCAAATGTGTGATTCTAACATAGGAAGAATCCCAGCTAAAATCAAGAACAATCCAGAAATATTTTGTTCCATGTTTCTTCAGTCAAGAATTTGCTAGGAAGCCTGACTCGCTGGTTTGCTCTCTAAAATTATTGGTGGCTGTGCAATCAGCAGATCGTCTTCACCCAGGGAAGAATTCTGGTCAGTGTTCACAAAATTGGGGATGTTGAACTTGCTATGGCAATTTAGCTCTTCTTCCAGTCTCCTACTGTTCTGAATTAGCTCCTGAAAGTGGATCTTTCTGTCCACAACTGGCATTTTGAGGCACTGTTTTTCCCTGTCCATATTCTCAAATTCATCGACATAGCAGTGGAAGAGCAACCTAGATTCTTCAGCAGCTTGTGAAGAAAAGATCCTGTCAGAATCCAGCGGCCCACCAAAGTCAGCCACAAAGTTGTTCATGCAGAGCCTTTTCTCGGAAGAGTCTGCATTCCTGGAAAGCAAGCAAAGGGGAACCGTGCGTTAAGAAGTGCGCTGTGGTACAGCTCTGTGGGAGATGGAATGCCAAGGCTCATATTGGTTAAGCGCATTCTCGACTACAGCATGTACATTTGAGAGAGATTGCAGGTGTGTGATTTGAGTGTTTTGGCAACATAAAAAGCTCACAAACATTTCTCCAGTTTGGGCACACTGTCACTGTCAACAGGTTCATGTTTTCTTTTCAGAAATGCAGGGGCAACAATGCAAATGCAGCCAGCCCTGCAATTACAGAGTGATCCTTTTTAATTTTAATTAAATTAGATTTTAATTACTGATTCCAGTGCTGTGGAGCAGATAGATGCTTCAATTGTCAACAAATAAGGGTTCCTGGAATTAACTTTCAGCACTATCCTGTGCATCCTACTCAGAAACAAACCCAGCCAAGTTCAGCAGAACTTCTCCCAGGTCAGCACAGGATTGCGGCCAAACCCCTGCAACCCTGCATCCACTTAATCCGGGGGTAAGTCCCACTTAGCTCAATGGAAACATGGGTCTTGCAGGCCAGACCGACCCATCTGTCTACACCAACGGACAGTGGCTCTCCAAGGGTTCAGACAAGAGTTTGGCCCTACCGTGACTCTACAGAGAGCTGCAGCCCTTCCCCTGGCATGAATGAAGTCAACCGATCGATGAGTGCTTACAGCTCCTGCTGTTCACTAGCAGTACTTACTCTTGGTGTGGTGCTCCTGTCTTTGTCAACAAGGTCAGTACAAAGAACATAAAAATGACAAAGACGGCAAGGCCGACCCAAAACCCAATCACAATGGAATCTGCAAGAGAAGGCAAGAGGTTAATCTGCTGATGGAGGAAGGGTAGAGAATACTCTTGGATTCATACAAAAGCAATACCCATTTTTCTGTCCTTAATAAAAACAGGCCTGGCAATGTAATGCAAGGAGGTGTATTTATTTAGGGAGTTCGTTCATTAAAACGTTTACAGACCACCTTTCAGGGCAGGAGCCTTCCTGAGGTGGGTCTTTGTCCGTTTACCCCAGTGCTGCCCACACCCTGGCTCAGTCCAACCCACAAGGAGCTTCTTTGCTTGCAGGCACATTCATGCTGTCTGGACTTGAGAGCCACTTGCATGCTACCTCCCCATGCACCGTCTTCCAAGAGGCAGCCATGAACAGTGCTGACTGCTTGGAAGTGAGAACAGGGCTCTAAATGACCCTTCCCACCTCTCCATCCAGCCCATAACAGACTTGTCATCTGTTTGGCAAGAGATTGCTCCACGCAGCCACCTGCTGTGTGTAATGATGTCTGGCTTGGGCCTGGGACCCGTGATTTGCTGGTGAAGTACCAAAAATATTTTAATGCCTGATTAGAGTAACAGAGCAAAGAATTTCCTCATATATATTGCTCTGTAAACACTCCCCTGGCACGCAGGCATCATAGAAACAGCCTCTCTTGTCTCCACATAGATTTTCTGGCATCTCTTTTTCAATATGCCTGTAGCTAAATTTAGCATGATCCGGGAACACAAGCACACGTGATGTGAAATACATGGAAGAAAGATACCAAAAGCTACTTTTCATTAGCTATCTTTTTCATGAAATAAAAGAAATGCTTACAGCACATCAGAGCAGTGTGTAATTAAGGCTGATTGGAGCTTCATTATGTTCACTCCCACTGAAGGTTTCGCATATAGCTCCAGCAAATAAATTCTATTTAGAAAAGATTAACATCCTTTCACTGAGGGCACTGTAGTCACTGGCGCAAGAATTCTGGCGCCATGATCAAAACTAGCAGCTCTGTTCTGACACAAATTAGGTCTGCCTGATCATCTACCATGCCCATTAAACAGAAAAAGTTCATCCACACCATAGTTTGGCATTATGAGGAGAAGCTGCAGCAAATCTCAGGGCACCCTTTGTGCATACGCACCCACACAAACACACCTTGTGCAAAAGAGCTTTAAAGGATTCATTTCCCTTTCTGATATAACTGCAGCTTGTCACATCATGCAAAACTAGCAAGCTGGTTAATCATAACTATGGCTGTCTTGAAATAAACCAGCCTCAAACTGTGGGATACAAAGCTGTCTTATTTGAAGAAACATAGTTAAGATTAGCCACAGTTTAAGGGTTCGGGTGCAACACTAAACTATGGCTGATCTCAAATGGAATTGAAATTATCCAAACTCTTACTGGAGGAGGAGAAGGGAGGGAGAGGAGGAAGAGTCCAGGCTTGCTAGACTCTTCCTCCTCAGTCAACATGGGGTGAACAGGCATTATATAAAAAAGAGCTCACCACAACATGAAGAGAACCCACTTTCACAATGAAAATGACAGACATGCATTTCAGTGCATTGAACTCTGGCTTAGATTCAGTCTCCTCAAGCATCTCGTAGCTGTCTAGCATTTTTTTAAAGATGCACTACATGATTATTTGTCTACCCCTCCCTTTTTCCCTTTAAAAACTGTTGTGCAGTGCTCTGAAATTGGAGGAGGGAGGCTCTTTATTAACATCATAGGGGGGCATCTATCTAAAATTATTTCTTGGCTACTAACCACCGCTACGCGGCGCTAGTTTTTGCTTCAGACTCAATGACACTTTCACTCCAACTCTGGATCACTTTTCAAACCAGCTTCACTGTCCTCATCCAGCAACAGAACGCACACGATTTCAGCTAAAGCAGCGCCAGCGCCAGGTTTTGGAAGGCTGGCTGTGGGCAAGGCGGCATCAGTGGCCCCCTCCCCCAGCAAGTCTACCTTCACAGCACCGCCACCACTAGCTGCGGTTGCTCCTCCTCTTCTGTCCCATCATTGCTACCACTGGCTTGTTTGACAGACCCAGAGCCAGTGAGCAAGAACATCTGCTGCTGCTGCTGCTCCTCACCATCACCACCACCGCTGTCTGGGCCAGAAGAAGAGGCAAGCTGAGCAAGCAGGTTGCCATGGTGAAGAGCAGAAGCACCTCCAGGGGGCCCTTGTCAGTGGACCCCTGGTGGGGCATGGGCCCTCAGCAAGCCCCCCTCCCCACAGCACCAGCCCTAGTCAAAAATGGCCTGCCTATCCGTATACTCTATGGAAAGCACATGAAGCTGACACTCGAGGATCGCTGCTTGCATTATTATATCCTGCCCACAGAACACTGATTCAGCCGGAAGGAGAAACCAGTTTTCTGCTTCTTAGGCTGGCCTCCTGTTCCATGTGCCAAAGAAGATCAAAGGCTTTTGCTTCTGTTTTCAAGCAACTCAGTTTTCCATCCAAACTGTGGTTTGTTAAAATAAATCCCAAGAATATGGCATTTGGTTCTGGCTTGTTCTCAGTAAACAAATCACATTAAACAAACCACAGTTCCCTTAGTTCAGACGGCACAGAGAACTATAGGCAGTTTCAAAGTGAAAGCAGACACTTCCACTTGCCGCCTCCGTCATGCAGAAAAGGAGGAGGAAGCAAGGAGTCCAGTGTTTGCTCCCTGAAAAGGAAACCACGATTTCCCATCGAGCCTGGAATAAGCCTCTATCTTTTGGTTACTGGTGCTTGGAGCGACTCAGCCAAAATGATGATTCTCCAGGCAGGTCCATCTGTTCCCTGCCTTTGTGATATGCAACTATATGAAATTCCTCTTCTTTCACCTAAATTGTCCACAAGAATCTTCTAGCATGATAGAGCTTATAATGAACACTACAAATGGAAGCAGATTCTGTCCGGCAAAGGAAATGGGAGGGTGTTTAACCTTACTCCCAGCCACTGCTTTTCCCCACAGCCCATCATTCCTAGTCACTTTTCCATTCCTTTTTCCCACACAAGGCTCCAGGGTTTCTGTTTTTTTTTTTCCTAATGCAGTATTTTTGCATTCAGTCCAGACATTTTTACCTGATCCAAAGCCCATCATTTCAAACTGTGGGCAAGCATAATGAAAGAAAATGACATTTTGTAAAATAATGATGGTGTTAGAATGTGTATGCATGCACACGCATAAGCAAGTATGGAAAAGAAACTACTCCCCAGATACATTTTACTGCCATTATAGCTGAAAACGAACACGGAGGGATTCTGAAATGGAGAGCCTCCCGGGAAGACTTACACTTATGAGCTTTGAGATCTTCAAAAGAAACTGGCCCGTATTCATAATATTCGTACTCCCAGGTGTAATCGGAGTTAGATAAGAGAGCAGGTTGGGAGGTTCTGTTGGAAATAAATCTAGATCCAGCCATCTCCTGCCTGTATCAATATATAAATGTGAAGACAAGAAGCTTTAGCAAGAAAAGCGATCCCGAATGATCCCCCCCCCCTCACACACACACACACACACACGCAGGGGCATCATTCAACATACTGCCCTCTGCTCCACGTGCCCAGATGAAGGTCAACCTTCCCCACCCTGGGGCCCTTCAGATGTTTTGGACTACAACTGCCATAATCACTTAACACTGGCCACAATAGCTATTGCTGATGGGAGCAGCAATCCAAAATATCTGGAGGGCGCCAGGTTGGGGAAGGCTGATGGGCTTCATTTCTGGTCTATCATTAAGGTGACTAACATCAGCAATGACCATCTGGCTAATTCCAGAGCAGGTTTTGTGCTGGGAGTGAGAGGACGCAGTCCTGTAAAAGTAGCAGCTCCACAACCCAGCCAGACAGGTTGGGCATCAGTTACAAACATCATGTTTTACAAAATTCTCTGTTTTACCGGTGCCAGATAAAGCCATATTAGGCTCTTTAAACCCATTTTGAAGTGCACTAATGAAGCAAACCAAAGCATCCAGAGAGGTTGGCAGCTGACGAACGCCTGGACGAGGCAAGTCGCTCTCCAACACTGCCATCACTTCTCCTCTGTCACAGCAGAAGGGGTAGAAGGGGCTTTGCTGAGGCTAGACTGGGAGAGCCCTGGACCTGCAGGACCCATTTTCCAGCCAGACCTGCAACGTGGAAGAAAGCCCGGGAGCTGGTGCATTTCTTTCCCACTGAAGCCCGTGAGAGGAAGACTGCCAAACACCCCCAGGCAATCGCTGTCCTGGCAGGCACAAGCGCCACATGACCGGGGAGAAGCAACCCGTTGCGTTCAAGCCCCCTCTCCCAGTTGTCCATAGGATTGTTCCATGGCTGTCGTCATTCCCCTGCAGCCTCACAACCATTTCCACTTGAGAGCAAAGAGAACGCTTGAGAAGAAATGTGCATGTGTGCATACAGGCTATTCTCCCTCTCCCACATAGCCAGGCATGCCTGTCCTGCTGAAAAAACAAAACAGGCTCAAGGGTTGAAGGTGCCGCTTTTAAATAACTAGGTCTCCATTTTGATAAACAGCCTGTAATACAGTGCATATCTTTTAATAAAAGTTAAATATCACATCAGGCTCAGAAGCCAAGTGGCTGCTTCTAAAAATAGATCAAGTACCAGTGTACTTTTTAAAAAGTGATATAAAAACTTCCCCTTTAGTTATATATTTATTTTTAAATTTATAACCCAACAAGGCTCTCTAAGAGGCAATCAATAAAATACAGCTCTTCCCCTTTATCGCTAAATTGGGTGCAGCTGGTGGGCGGGGTGGGCAGGGACAAATTTCCATCTATGCTTATGTCATCCTGAAATATTCACACATATCTGAGGGTCCTGAGATTAGGGATGCCTAGCACAGCCTTCCCCAACCTGGTGGCCTTCAGAAGCATCTGGATTGCAACTCTCAGAGTTCCCATTCAGCAGGACCATCAACTGGGAATTCCGGGTGTTGCAGTCCAAACGTGTCTGGAAGGTGCAAGGCTGGGGAAGGCTGGCTTCTGACACAAAAGCCACGCTAGGCACGAGAATGACTGAGATTTTAGGCACAGGAGACTTTTAAAAATGTTTTTCTCTACATTACATTAATACTTTCCAGCTGCTGTTTATTATAATTAAACCATTCTTTCCACACCACCAATTAGAAACAGAACTAGCTGTTTACTCTGGGAAGCTTCATTATCAATGCAGCCTGTCCAATTAATGAGCCCGAAGTGATAGTTGAACAGAATCCCCCAATTGATTATCGCTGCTTTCCATTTTTTCTGTTCCAAAAGTGACAAAGGAAAGAGATGGCAAGGGCAGGAGGTCACTGCACAAGACTGTTCTGTGAGTACTAGTGTTGCTTCTGCCTGCTGCACAACCGCCCTCCGTGGGATATGAAACAAGATCCTGTCTTTCTGCCAAGTCCTCTGAGAGACGTAGGGCCCAGAGAGGCAAGATCTCGCCCCTCACTTCATCCTGGGCTTCTGAATTGCCTGCCTGGGTTAGAAGCGTCTGTGTGGAAGACTGTTTTATGGGGCTCTCATTCCGAGTTGGGTGGACAGTCTCAGAAGGTGGTGCTGTGGGTTTACTGCTGCCTTCTGTGGCAGTTTCACAGGGTTCAGTTTTATATTCCGTGCTGATTAACAAGGGATGGTGGGAGGGGAGAAAACCACTGTAAAAAAAATAAATAAAATCAAAATTCAGCAGTGAATCAGCTTTGGTGCCAAAAGCTTACTTGACTAAAAATGTGTCTGCCTGACATGGAAGAATAAAAGAGAAGGACTTAGCCTGGCCTGCCTTGGCAGGGAGCTCTGTAGCCTCCAGAAGCACTTCTTTTAAAAACCAAAACCAAATGTGTTGATTCTGGATCATTACCATCCAATCTCTGATATGCTGGTTTTAGGTAAGATACTAGATGAGGCTGAGGGTTCTTAATCCCAGCCTTGGGCTATACTGGTTATTGCATCCATTCCAATCTGGTTTGGGATGGAAACCAGCACTGGTCACTCTGCGGAAGGCGTGGGGATGTTCAGGTTAGTTCTGCAGGATACATCTCAACAACTTCCAATACCATCAACCCTTCTGAGCCACCCATTTGGTGTAGGACCTGAGTGCATAGTGTTAAGTGACTCCAGGACTTTTTGGAAGCATGCATCCAGAAGATGGGGGGGGGTTGGGGGGGTAGTCTCCTCTTCCTCCCTTGGCCAAAGTACTTTGGGATTCTTCAGGGTCCTATTTTGTCCCTCATATTTCTTAACATCTACATGAAACCACTGGGGAAAGTCATCAAGAGGTTTGGGCTAAGGTGTCATCACTAGGCAGATGACTTGCAGCTTTACCTCTCATGTTCTTCATTTAGTCCTGGCGAGCCTGTGGAAGCTATAAGGAGGTGTTGGCCGGAAGGTTGGGATGGATGAGGGCAAGTCTTAATCCAGATAAGATGCCACACCATGAGTGGGGGAACCTGCCTATGTGGATGGAGTTGCAACCAATGTTGGCTGGGGCTGTACTCCCCTTAAAGGATCAAGTGCACAATTTAGGGACTCGCCTGTACATGGAATTGCAAGGGGCATCTGCTACCAGGAACACCTCTTATCATCTTTGCCTGAATCACTAGCTGCAGCCCTGCAGTATCCCAGGAGCAGGGCTGCAGGGATAAGGCACGCCTGGCTACACTTACCCATGCCCTGGTCACATCCAGATCAGAGTAATGCAGTGTGTCATATGCAGGGCAACACTTCAAGAAAGCTTGGTAGGGATGTGTGAAGAACCCAGTTAGGGGGCGGGAATGGTGTGAATCAGATTTGCTCAGCTTGGTTCCCTGGACTCCAGGCGGCATTCCCTCTTCCCTAAGTCCACCTCATGCTGAGCATTTGACTGGGCATCCAGCAGGAAGCAAATTCAAGCCAAAATCCATTTCTGCACACATGACTTGCAAGGGCTGTGTATTTTGCAAAGAATTGCATGCATTGCATACTTTGAACAAAGAATCTACTTGCATTTGCAGAACTGATCTCACCTCTGTTCGCTGCCTAGCCAGGGCCAAGCAGTGGAAAGAGGTCCAAGGAGGGCAAGAAAGCAGGATTCCAACCTGCTTGGCTCTTCTCAAAGCCTAGAATATCGGCCCTCCCCAGCAAGGAGGTGTCACAGCACGACACGGCGTACTGAAGCAGGTCAGTAATCATGGCAAAACATAAGAAGCATAATCATGGTATCTCACACTTGTGTTATGATGTTTTAAAATGCTCTGGAATTTTAAAAGATCCACTCACAATGGTGCATGTCCTAAAAAGAAATTGCCCCTCTCTGTGGGGCCGATGGCAATGAGACTTACTGACTGCCCTTTGAGGTGGCAACTTTTCTACTCCAGAGTAGCAAGGCGCAAGTATTATGTCCTACACTGATGGCCTGTTCTATCATAAATTTAAAGTGATGCATTTAATTTAGTTTATTAATATCAAGAGAGAGATTCAAATTAGCCACATACCCTTCATTTAGGGCTAAACAAATTAGCCACTTCTCCATATGCTTTTATGCTCACTGCCTGCAACTACATTAAACTTGTGCTGTTTATTAAACCCAAGTGCAGTCAAACGTAATGCATGTCTGGCATCTTCCTCCCCTAACAAATACTTCATTATTAGGAAGCAAGGCAGAGAAAGGAATAATTGGTTTGGCTAAATGGCATTATTACAAAAGCAACACAAAAGAGGATCCAAATGGAAGTGGGGGGGGCGGGGGAAGAGGACCTCCCAAAATAGCTGCTACAAATTACAACTGAAGTGGCAGCCTCTTCACAAGGCAGCCCATTAGTCTCCTGGCGGTCAGTCATGAAGAGAGAGCTCTGCAACATTTCAGTGATCCAAGCTATCCCATAATGCTGCATTCTGTTTTTCCACACGAGCAGATGTGCAAACTTATTTTCAGGGCCTTCACAGGGTGTAGACATTAATTGCCGCAAATGAGGCGGCACTGAAGCTGTAGGCATACATGCTCAGCCAATCCCAGATGCGGCAAATGGTCCATAACCACCGCGCAGCTACCGACACATCACAACAAGCCAATTGTTTTGCAGGGACCAGGTTCAGGGGGGTGGGGGGGACAGCCACTGACCAAGCGCTCCCAGCTGTCAACTGGCTTTGCTGAGCAACGGTGATTCTGGCCTCAGCAAGCACAATTCTTCCGTGTTCGTGGCCACATAGCCAAAGGGACATCCTTGGTCACCATTCAGCAGACCTCCTGCTCAGGCCAATACCTTTATGGATACACTGCATTATGGAAAGAAAATGGGCACGTCCAGTCTCCTCCATGAAAAGCTCCACACCATTTCTCCAACAGTGGCTCAGTCATTCCAGTTGGTCAATGCTGTGTGTAAAAAATGACTTCTGATGAAGAGGGAGAAAAGCTATGGGTATTTTTTCATGTCGCTTTTACAGGCACATCACGGAAGCAGCCT